TGCAGCAAATACTCTGCGGACTACACTTCTGTAATGCGCAGCGCGTGTCAGCGCAGGTCCTGAACTGCCCCCGCATTTGAAGGCCAGGCTATTTTTAGCCGCACGTGGCACCCTGCAGCTACTTTTAGACGTGAACGAGAGCAATTCTGCGATCAGGTTTTCGCCGTCCTGTGCCAGGGTACACGGCGTGATCGTCGCGATTCTCTCTACAAGCCGCCCGGCGTCTTGTAAAAACCAGACCGATGCTGTACAATGTCACTCTCCCCTCGCAGTACACTGCTACGCTGGACCCGTCAACAGCTAGCGCCGCGTCCTTCGGCATTATTCACCTCAGCGCTTTTACCAATCGTCTCCATCAGGCCTGGTCATAGCGCGTAGCGGCAGTAGGTTTCGCGCACAAACAGTGACGCCTTGTGACGGTGTCTGTAAACCAGGTAAACCCACCCAGATTCGTCAACTCGAATGTTTGTGATACATGTATCAGCTACGCATAGTACTAGTAGTTCATTGTTCAGCAGCTAGCCCTTGTTTTCACCGAAATGCCCATGCCTACGTTTAATACCTGTATGCATGTTGAACGAAGACAAACTTTGTTACCACTTGATTGGATCAAACTAACTTCGAAGACAATCACGAGAAACTCACGGTGCACAAGTAACAGAGTTCTCAATTGAACTCAATCATGATCATCCGGCTTATCCTGTCATGGTCAGATACTAGTAGGTGTCTCCTCCGATCAAGCTGTGGGGGATCGTTGATACTGAACTGGCATACTGTGTGTCCTTATCCGGTGATGTAACGTAACTTACGATTAGTTTGCAATGTTACTTCTCTAGGAAACGTTCTTATACAAGTACATGTACATGTACACTACTAGTGCTAGGATAGTTCATCACAGCACTCCTCGAGATCTGGCCAACACTCAACTCTCAGACTCAGATTTGCCCTGTTCCTGTGATTTGTGCTCGCTGCCGTGCCAGTCTCAAGACTCCCATGGATCAGAAAATGACACTACGCGGGCGCACAACACCATGCACAAGTGAACAGCTATTCCCGGGGAAAGTCATTATTAATGTCGGACATTACTACCGTGCTGGCAGCATGCAGCGCTACATGTACATCGCATTCCCGGAAAATATCTCCGTTGTACTGCAGACTGTAATCCAGTGCACTGTGGTAACAGATTTAGAGGAAGAGTGATGCTAGGAGAGAGACAGAAATAAAGAGAGCGAGAGAGAGAGAGAGAGAGAGAGAGAGAGAGAGAGAGAGAGAGAGAGAGAGAGAGAGAGAGAGAGAGAGAGAGAGAGAGAGAGAGGAGAGAGAGAGAGAGAGAGAGAGAGAGAGAGAGAGAGAGAGAGAGAGAGAGAGAGAGAGAGAGAGAGAGAGAGAGAGAGAGAGAGAGAGAGAGAGAGAGAGAGAGAGAGAGAGCGAGAGAGAGAGAGAGAGAGAGCGATCGAGAGAGAGAGAGATAGAGAGATAGAGAGATAGATAGATAGATAGATAGATAGATAGATAGAGAGAGAGAGAGAGAGAGAGAGAGAGAGAGAGAGAGATAGAGAGAGATAGATAGATAGATAGAGAGAGAGAGAGAGAGAGAGAGAGAGAGAGAGAGAGAGAGAGAGAGAGAGAGAGAGAGAGAGAGAGAGAGAGAGAGAGAGAGAGAGAGAGAGAGAGAGAGAGAGAGAGAGAGAGAGAGAGAGAGAGAGAGAGAGAGAAAGAAAGAGAGAGAAAGAGAGAGAAAGAGAGAGAAAGAGAGAGAGAGAGAGAGAGAGAGAGAGAGAGAGAGAGAGAGAGAGAGAGAGAGAGAGAGAGAGAGACCCATACCACTAGAACACTGGTGCTATCAAGGCTTGGTATACTATTAAAACGACTGGCATGGCCAGTTCATAAACATGTTCCACACTCGGAAGAAGCACTGTTAGATCATCTCTTTATACCTTCACCACCGCGGTTCACTGTTACATGTACATGTATATTGTTACCAGTAAAGATCTAGATTGATGGAGAACGCGCGCAAATGTGTTCGATGTTTTCGGTTCACTTTATGTCCATGTTCGGTGTTCATTGGAACACAAAAATAGCATCCGATCAATTCCTACAGAGGCCATTTTTGTACTGTGTGTGTACATTGTTCTGAAACATTGTTCTGATCAGTGCGCTGCATGTGACAATGTGTGTGCTCTTCAAAAACGTTACATGTACATGTACATGACATGTACGTCCAACATTCCATATCTCCACCTGCGTTCCGTCAATAAACCGTCACCTGGATACCATGAAACCCAAATGACTCTGGCCTAAAAAAACGTCTGCAAGTCGACTGTGACTGATGACTTGTGTGTCGATCACGATCACGATCACGATGTGTTCACAGAGTTTGAACCCTGTGACGAATGTAATGATACTGTGTTCAAAAAAGTGGTTTCCAGTCACTGCAGCAAACTGACTACATTCGCTGCATGCCACAACAAGTGCAGAGATTAGCCAACTAACTATAACTTTAGCTGGTTAGCAGTATACTAGTTTGTGTACAAAGTCATGTACATGTATGACAAATCCCTGATGTACTATCCTTGAATTTTAAAGAATGCTGTGCTGCATACCATTGGTGAGTGCATCTTGACTCAACATTGTCATTGATCTTATAATTATTATGTTATAGTCTATTATCAGTTTCTGTCCAATGACTTACATGCATGTACATGTACATGTACATGTATGCCTAAACAGAGATAGAGATTCACGAGCACTTTCTTTTCTTTCTTCTAATACTCAGATAGTGATTGGCTGTGTGTTTACACAGTTACGTCATTGTACATGTACACTGTATGTCAGTATCTACAGTGTTATCATTATTATTACGGTATTACGGTATATATATATATATATATCTGCGGGGATGACGACTACATACACCATAGCTCAGTGGTTAGAGCATCACTAGCTACAAGCGAGGGTCCCTGGTTCGAGTCCTGGTGGTGACAGTCAATTTTTTCTTCAGACTTTTCCCGTTTGTCTCTTTCCCTCAAACTAGTCAAGATGTTATAATTATAGCTTCTATTTAAACGACACTGCGTGGCTTAATACCCCTTCCCCCCCCCCCCGCAAAAACTTGAAGTCTTTATCATAACCAAACGTACTTTAAACTACAGACAGTCATTACAACTAGTAGTAGCTTTGTGTGATGCCTCAGTGCGTTTGAAACATCTCGGCACTCAGCCATCTCTGTGCTCAGCCACGCAGGACCAACAGAACAGTTCGACCGCTGCCAGTAAACAATAATAAACCAAGCAGAACATAACATTGTCAACAGTTACTGTGTGCGTGCGTGCGTGTGTGTGTGTGCGCGTGTGTGTGTGTGTGTGTGTGTGTGTGTGTTCTTGTGACCGAGGATACAGCTAACTGATCGGCGACTGTCGATGCTCACCAAACTGCAGTGCAGTGCTGCATGACCGTCCGGGACTCGGTCTGTGATCATGGTGATGTTCAATCCCAGACGAGAGACAAGACTGCGGAATCAACACGACCCGCACCCGCACAGCACACCGGAATTCTCTGCACTTTGTCCATGGTCTACTACACTAACAGTTACTTCTACCTTCACATGGATGATGGAGATCATGTACATGTACCCGCGAGGGTCTTTCACTGCACACCATTTGGCTCTGACTGTGTGAGGAAAGGTAACGGTTGATCGAAGCGACTAAGAGCAAGGGAAAGACCTGTTTTGCATTTGCGCAGAGGGGCAGCACTCCACTCTTCAGGAACAGTGGGGCGGCTTTGAGTCTGACGAGTCGCACAAACACACACACACACACACACACACACACACACACACCTCACACTCATGTTGCTGCCGCTGCATCTGTTCTCTGCAGCTTCTCCCATCTGTTCCTGTGTTCCTGCAAGACCCGTTCACACACAGACACAGACGGCTGCTTGCGGACCCCGGGCAAACAATACCTATGCAAAGTAATAGTTAGTTACATGTAGTTAGTAGTCATCATGGTCGTTGCGCTGTAGCTAGCTGTTTAGCGTTCCCGAACAAGTCCTGAACTCAGCAAGCCAAGCCCCTACTTCGTAGTACTTGGCCCTGGCGCAGCGAGCGCAGCAGTGGCTCACGCGACCTGTCAAAGACAAACTTCTTTCGAGAGCTGGTCTATTTTTATCAATGGGAGTACGTCACATCGCACGCCCACGGATTTTGGACAGTGTGCTTATTGACAAGTGCTTTTCTCAACAAGCCAACAAGCGCTATCAGCGCGCGCGAGCCGATTTCGTCGCCCTGCTACTGTGCCAGGTACGATGTCGCATAGCTGGCTGGTGTACTAGCGGCATGATCCAGGTATCTGATTCTATGGTGTTTGATAGCCCAGGGGTGCTGTGACCATTCAGCGGGCCTGGCTTCTCGCTCTGAAGCGATCACACAAAACATCTTGACACGTGAAGGGTTCAAAAGGGATCGACTTGAGCACTCCACAACAGAATCTTCAGAAACCTTCTCTAGGACAAGCCGCGGAAAGTTTCTTCCAGCATCGACCAACCAGCGAGTTATCAATACCGTACTCGACAGAACTTACTTGTCGCCAACAAGATCACACCTAAAAATGCTGAGACACTTCGAGCCACAGGCGTCCACGGCTGGCTGTTCAATGCGCCAGGTTCGTACTAGATTTAGCGCCTCTCCATTATGTGTGAAATTTCAGATTGCACTGGCATAATTATTGTGTTGATTATGCGCACGCTTCAAGGTGTTGTGCATGCGGCGAAGCTTTCCTCGACACCAGAACTATTACTTAGCGTCATTCCGTGTGTGTGTGCTTCTCTCTCTCTGCAGATGATGTGTCCACCGACGTCAACATCTTCGTTCGCTGCCGGTGACGGCATGGGCCTGCGTGCAACGAATGACGACATGCTGTATTGCGCCACGCCGAGCGACGGTAAGTGGTCTTGGCTAGCCTGTCCGGAGCCCCACATAGTATAGTACGGGCTGGTATGGTTGCAGCTCATGCATGGTCGGCGTGTTGACTTTGCCTCTTGGGCAACCTTTTTTAAACCGAAGGCTTGAGGGATGCGTTTCTGAAAACGTGTTGTGCGCCTACGGTAGTCTTACGTTCCATTGCAGCAGGCGACATTGCGAAAGACGTAAGAAACGACTCCGTTATCTGGTTATACACAGGCATGCAAGCGACGTGCCAGACTTCACTTGGTGCCAGGGACGTTCGGAAAGCGACCAGCACAACCTTGTTGATTTGCTGTGTTGTTGGCTCGCGATCAATGGAGGTATTTGGTGCGCGGTGCTATCTGGTGGTGGGGTGGTTGCACTGTTGTCAGTGTTCAATGGGGTGCATGCAGTGGTGTGGTCGGTAGGCATGCGACGTTTGCAAATAAGCTACCGCAGAGATACAGGTAATCGGTATTGCCTGCATAGTATTGGTACCATGGCTATGCACACCATGGCGTGGCCGTGGGCATGGTACACGCGACATAGCGGGCCAGTTTCCATATCTACTTTGGATAAGCTTTTCTTCTTGGTGGTAGAGTACTGCAGAGGTGAAGTTTGGTTTGGAAATTACACTCTCCTCCGTTTGGTGGTTCGGTCGTTGTTTCTAGTCGTGTGTCGATGCGGACGATGTGGGTATCTGGGCCGCGAGACGTTGTGGTAAAGCCTCGTCCAGCCGCAGCAGTACTGTGCAGGTGTCACGGTGCAGTGACTGTATACACATCGCCACAGTTGAGTAAGTAGTTCATCCTTAGTAGCGCTCGTGTCCAGAGTGACATACAGCCTCCAGGTAGATCAGGAGACGGGGTCCATCATGTGCGTGTGTGTATGTATGGTGTGTGGTCATAGGGCATTAGGGGCGGTATTAGTTATCCTGGCCATTTGATATGTCCCGGTGGTATCATGGTATCATCTTGCGCCAGAGCTAGCGTGACGAAAGCGTGTGTGTTGTCTTTCTGTTTCGTTCTTTCTCTTCTTACCCATTGCAGAAGTTCTCAACGGGTTCCTGCACGAGATGACGGACATGGAGAACATCGCACCTGTATCACCCGAGGAGATCACCGATCTTCTTTCGCCCAACCAGCATCAAATGGCGACCACTGTTGGCGCGGGCACCTTCGCAAGCAGCGGCGGTCTGTCTTCTCACGTCGAACAACTCCATAGACAGCAGCCATCGCATCGCCATCACCCTTACATGACTCCACCGCTCTCGCATGGCTCGCATGCACCGCTCGCACCGCATTCGTCCGCAGCTGCAGTAGCAACAGCGGTAGCTCAGGCAATGCCCATCCAGACACCCGCCGACCAGTGCCACTTCCCGGTCAGTAGTGCATCAGCGGCTGCTATGAACAGCCTATCGACGGCAGCTGGTACGGCGCCTCACGTTCAGTTCACTCCGCCCTCGCCGCTGGCCTCACGCTGCTCGCAAGACTCGACAGGTGAGAGAGTGTGACCAATCACCCATGTACAGACAGACAGTCCAGTGTGGCCTGTGATAGCGTGACCTTTGCAGTTTATGATTACTTGTATCAGTACTGGTATGTGTGTACGTGTACATAGTGGTCGTGCCATGAGCCTCGGTCGATGTTCCTTTTGAACAGGCATTCTGCCTATCCAATCACCGGCCTCTCCGATACCAGTAACCACAGTAAAATTAATGATGGAGTGTTGTGAATAACAATGGTAGTGGCGCAGGTTTGTACTCTGTAATTGTAGTGAATGTTGCCGAAGTACTTGAAGTAGTGCATGCATTCGTAACTCGTAGAAGACGCTGGTAAATATCATGGTATTCGCGAGCATGCTTGTAAACACCACTGCGGTCGTTGTGTGTCTTGTGATGCATCACCGCTTGTGCACCGTGGTGTAACTTTGTGGCTGAACCGGCGAGGCTTTCCATGTGCGCTCGGTCCTTTCTTGCTAATTATTCTGAGGTTTCTCGAGAATTGACTGTCGAACATGGCAGTGAATCATGGTGAATCGTGTTGGCAGAAGGCTACTGCAGTGACAGTTGACATAATCACAGAGTCCAGCATTGTACGTTTGCAGTGCCGAATCGCAGTGCTTGGTTGTCTGTCAGTAGCACGTCAGTAGTTTGGCGCACTTCGGAATCACGTGTTTTGTCTATTCCGAGTTGGACTGTGGATGGAGTGTGGCCACACTTTGACAGGGCCGTATTTTATTTAGCAGTGAGGCTGTGGTGTCAATGTCTTCTGGGCTGCCACGACCAGGACTCCTGGGCTTAGGGCAGTCCCTGCGCACGTTTGTGTTGTGTGAGAGTGTGTGGCTGCAGTGCTTGTGGTTTGCAACCAGTGCAAAAGTGTGTGTGACACCGGCCTTGGTTTTGCCTTGTACACAGCATACAAAGCACAGCTGTAGAGTTGTGTTCCAGGGTGGTTGTCAGGGGACATATGGCTGTGGCTTTCTGGCGGTTTGGATCATGTGTTACCAGGCATTCAGTTCAGTTTCAACAAAGTAAACTAAACTCCTGCTCTGTGCACCTGTGTTCTTGTGCTGCACAGGCTCTTCTGCCAACGACTATGGCGCTGAGTCACCCCGCTCACATCGTGCAACCTCACCGCTCAGTGGTGGATTCTCGTCCAAGGCAACATCGCCGCACGGCGGACTCTCCGGCAGCATGGGTGGCTACTCGATGCAGCACACACCCAGCTCGCCGTGCCTGTCCGACCGCTCGGACATCTCGGCGCTGTCCTGCGGTACTGCGGCGCACTCCGTCGTGTCATCACTGGCCGGCGGTGCCTACTCACCCTCTGCCATGCACCACCACCAGCAGCACCACCACAGCGGCATGCAGCAGTACGGCCTGACAGCTGCTGGACATCCACAGCACCATGCACAGCAACTTCAGCAGCATCATCACCACCACCAGCAGCAGCAGTGTCAGCAGCAGCAGAGCCAGCAGCGTCAGCAGCAGTCACAGGAACACATGCAGCTGTATGGCAACCAAGGCTCAGCATCACCTCCAGCAGTCTTCACCAGTGGACGGAAGAGACAGGACATCAAGGTCAAGCTGCCTCAAAGTAAGTACTCTGCACAGACACTTGGAATCATTCACGGTCGTCTACACTCTCACTAGCATTGGTACATCCATGGCGTTGTGTGTTACGTCTATTGCCTGCACTAGTTCAGAATTGTGCCCTCGGCTTAATGTGTTCAGCAAACAGAACCACTCACAAATTGTACTCTTTGTTGCGTGTCCACTTTGTACTTAGGACGTGGAGCCGTCCAACTGTGGCAGTTCCTTCTGAACCTGCTGGATGAGAGCTGCACGGTCACGACCGCTGAAGCGTTGGTGGAGTGGACCAACCCCGAGCTGCTGCAGTTCAGACTGCTTGACCCCGAGGAGGTCGCTACGCGCTGGGGCAAGATCAAGCAGCGTCCGTCGATGAACTACGACAAGCTGTCGCGCTCACTCCGCTACTACTACGACAAGGGAATCATGGAGAAGGTCAGCGGAGAGCGCTATGTGTATCGCTTCACCTGCCCGCCACATCTGCTGAGCAATGCGCTGAACGAGCGAGAGGAGAAACGTCAGCAGCGTAAACGCCGCGCCAACCGTCTGAGCAGCACGTACGAGCAGCCGTCTACCGCTGGCCCGGTGCGTACTTCGCTGGCATCTTCCAGTTCCAGTGGACAGTCTCTGTGGAGGAACAACAGTTATCCATACCCGCCGCCTTCAATCAACAGCATTACCTCTCCAGCCTCAGGTCAAGCACTGTCTCACCTGGCGCAGTATGTGGCCGGCATCGCTCATTAGACCGGTGTCGTATTTGCTTGTGTGTGTGTGTGTGTAAGGGCGTGCTGCAATATTCTCGCCATGCAGCACTGCATCGTCATATCAGACCTGCTGCTCATTCCTTGACCACACTTGTGTAGTGAGGCGGACATTGATGCCCTACACCCTGCATCCTAGTGTGCTGTGTTCATATGCTTGCACAGAGTGATTTTTTCTGATAGTATAGTGTGTAGTCTTCTTTTACAGCAATAGGCAGTGTGTTTCTTATCCTCCATTCTTTGTGAAGAGCCAACTTACTTTGCATATTCGTCATCTGCCTTGAGCTGCTCCGCGTTGAATACTTTGAGCTGTTGAGAGTGCTCACTTTGTGTCCGAAACATCCCATTTCAACTTTGCTCTCCTTTTTTTTTCAGGAGGCTTGATCCTGCCCGGCTTGTGCTTTTGGCCGGTGTGAGTGAGCAGATTGAGTTCTACCTGGCGTTCCAAGCTACTGTGTACTGCTGAAGTGGGGCCGCTGCTCAGCTATTCTCTTTATAACAATATGAAGTGAGCGTGTGTTGAGGTGTGCTGCATTGCAACAACAGACTTTTATCCTTATTATTCCTATTTCAAGTAGTCTTCCCTAACTCTAATTACGATTCCATTGCTATTTGACCCACACTCGACTATTCAAAGTGATATTATAACAAGCGTGATCTGATGAGAAACTGAGTAACTCTTTCCGAATTCCGGAGTCACTTCTTGTGGACGAATGCATTACAGTTTACTGTTTGTGCAGCCTCCGTAGCACCAGTATTCCAGGTGGTTCAGCCAAATGGGATACTTGACCAGAAATGAACATCATTCACAAAATAATCATGCGACCAGTCTTGCAATGAGATTGGGTGGGTCATCTTTTTCGAAAAAAGGTTAGGCTATGGCCGGACAGGGTGCCATAGGCCTGTCGAGTGTTGTGTGCTATGCTCTGTTGTGCCGTCTTGGTACTGGATTTTTATAATGATTGTGGATAGCATCATGAAGCCCAACCTCATTGGCAAAGAAAGTAGAAGTACATGATTGTACTGTTAAAATACTCGCCTCTACTTCAGTACTACTAGGTCTCTGTCCGTCCTGAGAATGCTGCATGCAGTATTTTAGTAATGGTGATTGTACCCAGAGCAAATAAGCTCCCACAATGATTATGATGATGTACATGTATTTATGATGATTGTGTGTACTGAGACGGGGGACTGTAGACTTGTAGTGTACTGCAGCTGCCAGTACGGGCGTGGCCCGCGCCTGCGAGTTCTCTACGACTCTAGGCTATTACGTGGCAATGGTACCATGGTGTCGGCACTGACAGTCTATGTCTATGCGTATGATGATTGTTGCTAGTATAACTAGTAATAAAAGGACTTAGGACGTTAGGTGTTTGTTAGGCCGTGCTTATCTACACTATGCCTATGGGCAGTATGGCCGTGCAAACGGAAATACTTGCTGCCATGATGGCAGTAATATGAGTCATGCTTTGGTCGTCCACGCCCCATCCCATCCGCATGTCAGGATGATCCCGCTGCCGGGCGCGGCGGTAGCCTAAGTCAAGGCGTTCTCCCTACTCTGGAGGCCAGGACTGAGTCCGTGAGGGGTGTGTTTGGACTAATATTAATAATACTAATTACTAGTGTAGCCCAGTGCAGCGGGAAACACAGTCGGAGACACCCCTTACATCTACTCACTGCCGATTGCCATTGAATGTCATGTCTTCTACTTCGAAGTAGAATACAGTGCAATAGTCGGTCACTTTTCTCGATCATATGCTACTACGGATGGAGGCGAGCTCCGGTTGACCCTGCCCCTTCCCCTGCCCCTCAAGGCCTGTCCCTGGGTTTGGGTTCGCGAAGGCATTTTGAAAGCAGTTGCAATACCTAGTAACTCCATCCACTGGCGCACGGGCGCATGACATACATGTACAGCCATGTAGAATCAGAAAAAGCCGCTGTCACATGCCATTGCGGTGCTGAGCTGCTAGTAGCAGCTAGTAGCAGGGCCTAGGGGGTACGGGTGGCAAACACTACGAAACAGGATCGTTTCAGAGTCCATCTTGGCAGAGGAGAATGCTTGTCCTCAGAACATGACAGTTTGGAATATGAGCACCAACGGGTTTGCAACTTTCCAGTAGACTATTGTGTACAACAGTTATTCAGTTGCTAGTTTGTATCGAGCATACGTAACATGTACCGGTATTCTTGGTTGTAGAGTAGCAGTCGTGTGTCAGCAGGGTCTTGCGAGACACAGATTGCATGCCGTGTGTTACTCACTGACATTCTTGGGAACTGTCCAGGGCTGCAGGTGAAATCAAGACCCCTCGAACTCCTGATACTTACGGAAGAGTTTTTTTCTCTCCAAGCTCGGGCCCAGATCGCCGTTGATCGTCAGAGATTGGACAGTTGTCTCAGTGGAGTTTGTCTATTAGGACAGGCTGTGTTTCTGCTAGTCCACGACCTTTTGACAAGCTGAATAGGAAAATCGCCAGATTGCCTGTCAAGTGTCCTAATATTAGCTGCAGCTCGCGTCCAGGCCACACAAGCCAGACCGCGGGGGATTCAACTCCTATCTCGTCCATCCACACATTCCCGCACCTCCGTCACATGGGGAACACGCGGAGTCAGCCTTGGAGTTGGAGTTGGACATCAATGATTATGTGCTTGCGCGTGCGTGTGCATGCCGTGCAGAGCTGTATCGTGGCATTTGATGTACATGTATTTCCCAAGTAACGCCTCTGTTTGGTACTGACTTGGCAAGCGCGTCGACATAGTGGTATCATGCAACTCGGAGAGTTGCTGCTGATTGGTGCGATTTTGTTTTATGGTTGACAGCAGGGAGTCGTCAAATACCTACTTGACGACTCCCAGCTGGCCAGTCCCTGGTTGACAGCTGGCACGCGCCAGATCAAGTCCTGCGTTCATGACAAGTGCAGTGACAAGCACGGATTTAGCAAAACACCACGTGCCACCCAACAGACTTCATGCCTGATCGATCCTGACTCTCGTCTAGACTGTGATGGCTGAGCTTACACACGTTGTAGCTTGCCTCACTGGGAGCTGCCGACGTGGATGGAGTCCAGGGACCGTCTGCATTGTCTGTGCGGTTATAATACTTGAGTAATAATAATTATTGTACGTGTATAGGTCATAATAATAAACAATGATAATGGAGCGCGTAGCATGTCAGCCATTTGTAGCTATCGTCAGGTGATCTCTTGCAAACACTACAATCATGTTGTCATGTACATTGTACAGTACAGGTGCAGGTATATTACTAGTACAGTCATGATAGAATCCAACGTACACTGGTAAACCAGCATTAGATAAACCTTGTTGTGGTTCACGCAATTCACAGTGTCCTCCACCTTGTTTCATGCTGTCAATCATAGGCTAACAATTTAGTACAGTCATGCAGGTGATTATGTATGGCTGAGTGCGGGGCTCGACCCCGGTGCTACCGCTCCACACAGTCAGGTGTCATCGCCTTTCTGCTTGGACGTTTGGCCTTTTCGAGTCCGAATTATTATTTGTTTGATGTTCTCCGTCAGTATGTTGGCACTATATTTTTTTCTAACACCAAGTCATCATGCATAACAAACGCCCCTAGCCCTATCGGTTTCTTGTCGTTCGGTCTGGCGTTTCACTTCCTTTTTTGCTTGTTCCCTCCCATACCGGTATTCGCCTTTCTGTTGTTGGGCCCAGTCCAGGGAGTCGTCAAATACCACACTCCCTGGCCCAGTCAGTCCCGTTTTAATGTGCGACGTAAAACTCACCCAAACACACAAACGCCTCCATCGAGCCCTTTGCGGCTAAACGAAAGACTGTCTAGCTAGTGTGATGACAGAAGAGCAATTACATGGTTTTATCATTTTACAGATTGTTCACTGCCCAAATGTACTACTTACTATAACCACTATTTATACTCCCACACTTTCTCTGGCAGTCTGGGACCATCCCATCGCCATTGGCATTGGTAGTGTCAGATCGAGGTTGGCGGGGACTCCGGGAGGGTTTCGTGATCAAGATGTTGCTAAGATTGGCAGACCGTCACGGGTTACATGTACTCCAGCAGTGACGTCATGGCGTCAGCACATGTACAGGCCGGCAAGGGAGGGGACGGGGCTTTCGTGTTTGTTGCGTTAGTAAGCAATCGGACAAATGTCACGGCGTCGGATCAGAAACGCTGAACACCAAAGGCAACTGAACAGCAGACGGAGGCCATGGCAGCGTCGCACTGCTTGCGCTCTTGTCCCACCCAGACTCCCAGTTAGAACGTAAAATGATACCAGCAGCCCAGCCCCCCCCCCTTCCCTTTATACCTTCCTCCAGAACCCACTCATCCATAGCCTCTCCTCCACACACCTACACGTACATAACTCCTTAAGGCGTGTAGGACTCTTGCCCGGCACCAGTCAAAAATCTCCTTTCTCCCAGTCTCCACCGGGGACGCCATTGGGGTTCCAGGATCTGGCCGACTGAAGGTCTGCTAATGTGACGACGATCAAATGCCTACTTTAGGTCTACATGTAATTGTTTCACAGACACATCACGGGTAAAGTAAAGCCGGTTAGGTCGGGAGCGGACCAAGACAGTCCTTGGCAGAGGGCCGGGTCCTGTGGGGTTCCGTTTATCATGACAGAGTGAAAAGCGACAGACACGTGGCACTAACGCTATCTACCTAGTACCTTCTCACCTCATTATTGCATGTGCGCCTTTATCCTTGAGCCAAGCAATTAGTTGAGAGTGCAGGTAGCGTCCCTACTGCCAGTACTGGGCTGTGGAAGTCATCCTGTCTGACTGACTCAGTACGAGCGAGCCGGTGAAAATAATGTATGTAACACGATTGTGTTTATGGCGCGGAATTATTGTCATGTACATGTACATGTATAATCCAAATGTGGTAGTCATGGATAGCGACTGATGGCCGCTCTGGTCCTGACCTGGGCCGCGGGGTCATGGAACACTGCCAGTAGTTGAAACATGAATGCGGTGCCAAGGCTCCGCTGACATAACCCGTTAGAACTCCCTACTAGCTCTGCATCTGATCGACCAGAACGAGATGATACTGTCTGAGATGGTTTCATTCACAACACCATGAAGTAAGAGTCAAAGCAAAACGACAACCCAATTTCGGAAATAAATAGAACACTCAATTGAAATGTAAAATTGAACGCAAAAGCTTCACAAGAAATCGTTACCTGTCTGAGATGGTGCTAGTATACAATACATTGTTTGGTTGACAGCATATTCATGTTACAAGGAGGAGGACGCTCTGTGTTTGAAAACAGTGCTTCTTACTACAACCTCCAGGCTCCACGGTTGGCAGAGCCCCGGTCGTGCGACCATTTGAACCATAAGTATGGGGGCTAGCCCCGGTTCTGAGCTAGGGAGTTCAAACAACGTGTTTTCAACCAAGCAGGGTTTATCTATTACATGTAACAGTGTCTGCAGCTGACAAGAAGCCCCGTGGGTTTCAGTATTAAGGGCAGACGCAGTCTGATCTGAAAATAGGATCGAAAGAGCCAGCTGACTCCCCTTCAAGTAACGAACGACAGCATGGACATGCACGCCAGATGATTTAAGAAGAAACAAGTGACCGGAAAATGGCGGAATGCTTCTAAAGTCTACTGCCATTTTTGTACCACACCTACTACCAGTTACGGTCGTTACATAACAGTTAACCATTGATGCAGTCAGGTTTAATACTGTCATTATACCGTTATGTGCAGTCGCCACTACTGTGACCTAGACTCGGACTAAGAATACGCCGGCAGGTTTCTATGCATGTACAGTGCAGTGGCACTAGCAGCAACATACATGTACAATAGTCATGTACATGACGATTGTACTGATCCCGTGGTACAGAATTGTGCCTCAGTCGCAGAACACAAAGGTCCCTTTCCAAAGCTGTCGGGTGACGGTAGGGTCACGGTTGGTTGGCTGGTTGTGTTTATTTGAATTCGCAAACCGAACGGACTGAACATGTCCGATGACAAGGAAGCGAATGAAGTCCAAGTAACCCAGGAATGGGAAACGCGGCAGCAGACTCAGATGAAAAGAAAATAATGGGAACAGAGGGCTCTCAGCAAAGGATGAAGAGAAAAGAAGGAAAGAAATAAAGAAAAAAAGGAGAAAAAGAAGAAAAAGAACGGTGCCCAGAGACCTAGTACCTCTCCTGAGGCGTACAGATAAGCTGTACGTGCAACGCTAGGTGGACACACTGCGATTTCTTCATGTCAACATGCTCCGCGGATCCGGCGAAGGTAACGTTTTGACAAGTTGAGGTTTAAAGGGCACGTGTACTTGACCTTGCGCGCGGTTGCGAGATTTATTCCTGTAACGGTGGCGTGAGGTCGTGGTGGATTATACACTCGGGTACATGTGCGTATGCTCAAAATAGCTGACAGGACATTGTAACGTAGCCGATCCTGTGATAGTAACAAGACGGCACACATTCCTGGCCGTTCTGGCTATGACAATAGCAGCCTCGAGATGAGCCTCGTGACTTATGCAGCAATGATAAGTTCTATCGCCTCGACCACAGACATCTTCCCACCTTCAAGCCAAGCTGCACGTCCTCGCCGTAATGGCGTTGTCCCGCCATCCACAGTAAGCGTAACTAAAATAATAATAATTAAGTCCAAGACTAAGCACTTGAACTGGCCCACTTGTCTCTAGCCAGTCTAGGGCTAAGGTCAAGGATGGCTGGATGGATGTACAAGGAGACCCAACACTGACCACTGCATCAACCAACCACTCACTGACGTGTTCGTGGCTGACTGGTAGTGTCAATACCAGTATACCATGCCATGGTATACAGGTACGTCTAGAGCTGTTCTGGGACTACGCAACCATGGTTACCAACTTCCTTTAGCAGATCGATCTCCGTCATCTGGTCATCATGGGTACGGGCTTTACTTCCGACCTGTAAAAATAAATAAAAAATAAAGTAAATTATTTGAACAAACGGCGAGGAGACAACAATTTGATAACCGCAATCAGTAATACAAGCTGGATCGACATTTGTGTACACTGTATTCATGTATTGTAAAACTGTGGAGACAATGTGCAATAAAACGATGAAAAATGTGAAGAAATTGTGTAGAGAAAGAAAGGGATTCAAACAAGTTTTCGTACAACACTCATCAGGAATCATCGTTGTACTAAAGGACACTGAAACAAAAATTGAACTATTATAGAAAATCTAAGTTAAAGAAATAACACTAAGAGCAACAACAGTGAAATTTACAAGTGTGAATTTTAACAATCAAAGCGAGAAATGAACAAAGGAGAAAGGAAGGAAAGACAACGTGATAACACATAACAGCAGTACATTACACCTAGAACATTAACGGCCAAGCTTGGCCGCACTAAACACGACACGTTACTTGAACAACTTCAACCCAATTATACTATCTTTCTGTACACACAAATTAGGCTTGTACAGACGCTGATAGATAGCTTCCAACACTTTTAACTGTAGTCCATAACCATGACGACCACGGCACAATACAGTGAACGAAGAGTCAGAATACGCACCGCAACAATCAGGACTAGCCAGCAGATGATTGTACACTGAAGACTTGCTACCACGAAACCTACGCACAACACTAACACTCTCACCGGCACTCTCACCATCACTCCCATCACTGCTCTCCGACTCACTGCTCCCTCCGCCGTCCGTTCCATCCTCCGCTTCCCCTGCACTCTCTCTGTCTCGTCCATCCCGCCTGACCGGGTCCATTGAACCCAACTCGGCCGTCCCCCTGCTATCACGTCCCTCCTTTCGCCCTCGTCCGCTGAGTGCGTAGCTTCTGTTGTAGTTGGCTGTTGATCGTCTCGGTCTTTCAATTATCGGCTTGGATGGTGGATTAGTTGTGGTTGCTGTAGATTGCGTTGTTGGTGTTGGTGTGGGAGTTACTGATATGCAAGGTGGGTCTTTTTGAGTCGGCATTTGTAGTGTTAATGCAGCTGTCAGTGTTGCTCGCGGTCTGCCACTGGCAAGCTCCACCGCCGCAAGAACCGATGGCGGAGGATCAGGAGGAGGCAGTGGGACCGGGACCGCAAGCGGCACCGCCTCAGCCAAAGCCGCCGGGGGCACTGACGATGGAACCACCGACGGCCGGAGCAAAGGCTTAGATTTTCTATAATAGTTCAATTTTTGTTTCAGTGTCCTTTAGTACAACGATGATTCCTGATGAGTGTTGTACGAAAACTTGTTTGAATCCCTTTCTTTCTCTACACAATTTCTTCACATTTTTCATCGTTTTATTGCACATTGTCTCCACAGTTTTACAATACATGAATACAGTGTACACAAATGTCGATCCAGCTTGTATTACTGATTGCGGTTATCAAAGTAAATTATCGTATCCGTTCCCGAAGGGAACTCACGACGGCCGCTAACACCCGATAAACCCTAGCGGCAGATGCAGCGCCTAACGGTGGGGGACCTGTGCTACTGTAAAATCGGTACGTGTATATTGAAGTATTTGTTACTTCGAAGTATAAACAGGATAGTACGAGGTTGTATTGAGAACTAGCCCGCACATACCCAAACAACAACAACAACAACAACAACAACAACAACAACACACACACACACACTGGCTATCGTGAGAATAAAGATTTGAAACAACAACAACAACAACAACAACAACAACAACCACAGCATGCATCAGAAGCAACAGAGAACAATGTCCAACAGCAAGCCACACTGTGTGCAGCAGCAGGCATGTATTCTGCACATACACATAACACTAGCCCAGTGCTGCGATGTGGTGGGACTGACCTACACTCTACAGAGTTTGGTAGTAGACTAACCGTTGACACACATTTCTCAATCGTGTCCATACTACATCGTGTCCATACACGGTCGACCAAGGTGCATGACAATGCGTTTGACGGTAAAAAGCGAACCCCCGATTGCGGGGCACAATTTACAAAGTGGCTATCTGGATATATCCAGCTACTGCACCATGTTGTACAATACATGAATTCTGCAGTTGCGGGAATGTCGCAAAGGAGGGGAAGGAATGGATATAAAGATGCAAGGTATTGACTATTGAGTATTGTGCGGCAGTAAACGATCTGATTCTCATGATTATGTCCATGATGATATGCCGGAAACAGTGCTGGACTAAGAAACAATAATGTCAAGAGGTAAGCACAAGATGTCAACTACTCGCTTTGTGCATGCTGTTATAGATTGGAACAAAACTGTAAGGGAATATTGTTCTGAATAGACATGTCACGTATCACTAAACAAGAAATCCATGGGGGGGGGGGTCATTTTGGGCAACTCTGAAGTTTGAGCTAAGGACAAGAGGGCTTTGCAAGTTGAAGAGCATCAGCGCCAGGGAATGTCCAAGGCACGATCCTGGTTCAGTGCACACTTGCCAAAGGCTGTTGCTACTGCTCAACAGACGGTTATAACTTAGCTTGTAACAAGACTGCACGTACGGACTGGCTGGAACCTGGTCACGATATTTGTAGGTTTTTAAGGACGGACAAAAGAGGAACATAACTTCTGCGGCATTGCATCAAGAGCCTGTCTGCTGCTGGCTATAGACAGGTACGTGCTGACTGCAGGATGTGTCCAAGACTTCCTGTACCAGGCTATGCACAGCACAGGTGTGAGTTGCTTGGATTCATGCCACATACGTGCACCATAGAGGTGTGATCTATACACACCAAACTGTCATGTGCTTGCACACTGCATGGGATCATGGCACTTTCGGTGGCCGACGTGGTGATGCACCCAGAGACCTGCTGCTCGGCACTGATTGGTGCAGAGCAGAGGAATCGTGCTGAGATGTAATAGCGGTGTTGCTGCTGCTGGGATTGCGATGAGCGTTTGTCCTACCAGTGCTCCTCAGATCATTAGCAGCAGCAGCTGGTCGTGTTGATGGCATGTGGTTGCTCCTGGCGGAGCGTGTACCGCTGCTGCCCACAAGCTGCAGTGCCTCGTCGCATCCGCTGTAGAAATTACTCTGCAGCTGCTGCAGCGCCGACTGCACACCACGCGCCGTGCTGACGTGATTCTCGTGAGCCTTGACCAGCTGCTCCAGTCTGGCCATTACCTGATAGTCTGGCACTGATAGCTCACTAATGTCCAGACCCAGGAGCATGGTGATGGAGGCACGCAGTTCCAGGAGCTGTGCGACACGGCAAATACAATGTACATAATTCAGCCGCGCAGATAAACAGTACCTTCATAACTACACACATAAGCATTAGATAGAGTAGAGTGGTTTAAAATCACATGTACACTAGATGGTCATCTAATTTGTCCAGAGGGTATGCCTGAGACGCGGGAGATCTATGGGTGCATCAACGCACACATGGATTGACATACTTGCATGCATACAACTAGCACACACGGATACCCACATGCACACACGCACACATGCACACGCGTACACATGCATGCACATACGCATGTACACACACACACACACCTCAGACCTCAGACGTGCCCATCGCGGAAGCGATGATAGCGAACAGCTATGTTAGACATAGCAACTTGTGCTGGGATTACACCATTCAACAGCTTGCAAGGCTGATGAATTGACCGCCACTATTTTTAGCCTGGTATCCACCACACAGCTGGTTGAAGTGACTTTTTCTGGCCAGTGAATCCCTATTTTTCATTTTTCCATTTTTTTTTCTACACACACACACCACACCACATACTCCGGCATACACAGCCACACACACACACACACACACACACACACACACACACACACACACACACACACACACACACACACACACACACACACACACACACACACACACACACACACACACACACACATACACACATGCACACACACAGATACAATGGTATGCAGCAAATTCAGATGGATACCTGTTTCTCTCTGGCGCGCACTTCATCCAGTGCCTTACGCGCTGTGGTCAGATCCTCCCGCAGCACTCCACATTCTCGCTCAACGCTGTGCTTTTCTGTTTCCACCTTTGCCCTGGATGCTTTCAGGGACTTCTGCTCCGTTGACAGTAGCTGAGTCCGCCTCATGGTATCGGCATGTTGCTTGTCCAGCTGTGCTTGCAGATCTTGTATGGTTGCTGATTTCTGCTCTATAGTTTTCTGGACACGGAAGGGAAAAGAATAGACAATATGTACTGTAACAATTGGTACAGTCATACCTCGGTTATCCGGACCCCAAAGTTACGGGCACTTCGGTCTACCGGGCACCCTTTGGGCGAATTTTAAGCAAATATTACTACATGCACTCCATTGTCACTTTTTGTGGAAAAAGTGACGTCATATGCCATATTTATGGCCTTTCCCCATTAAAATGTATGTGATTCGGAGTTGCGGACATTTCGAAGTTACGGGCAGTGCCCAGTCCCGGACCGCCCGGATAAACGAGGTATGAGTGTACATGTCATACCAGGTGCATGATGACGATGTACTGTATGGCTGTGGGGTGTTTTCTGCAAGTGCATGCATTGTAGCATGGGTACATAAGCAAGAGTGTGAAACTCCTATCTAATCTTGAGCTTTTTCTACGAGTCTCATCATAGCGTGCATGCTGTACTGTACCATAAAAAAATATAAAAGATTGAAACTGTAAAAAAAACTTACGGAGCACCTAAAAAAATATAATCTTGAGCTGTGCTGCTGGGCTCACACCCTGCTGGGTGATTGTTTTATTGCGTCACTGTCGGTGTGCTCAAGTCTGTACGCTTTTCCGCGATTGTCACAGTCTTGTAGGCGTGATATGTACTCTCGCTGCATGGCAGTGCTGACTGCATTTTAAACCAAATTAACGCCGGAATCTGCCCGGGATAGGCAGTGGAGACTGGCGTGTGCCAGGGACAAGCCTTGCTGAGATGATTGCCTTGCTCTATGTCCGCAAATGTGAACTCATCGTGCACACATGCACACGTGGTCACGTGTACGCACACGTGTATTCACACTCTCCATCACCGGGGGCTGCCATGGTTGCAAGGTGAACAGATCTAGACTATTTTCTAGATTGCTTCACAGTAAGTGAGTTACAGTTAAAACACACAAACCAAACATATCACTTTGCAATAAGCCCACTGATGAGATTGCAGCTGACCGTACCTGAAGTGCAGTGCCATCCAATAACTGCAAGTTGAGATCATTGATGCTCTCCTTCAGTTGCCGGATGGTAGCTGCTTGCTTTTCATTTGCCTTTTGTCCCTTCTCAATCTGCAGGAACAAAGCAGTGTACAACCCCCTAGTTTGAATTTTACTACTAGTACCTGAAGTATGATCAAAAGAATAAGACAGGCCTGTAGCGCCTGGTCCGGCTGGTCGCCAACCAACCAATGCTTGTGCAAACCGATTTTCGTCAATGATGTAATTTCCAGTCAAGATTTGGCCGGACCGCTTGAAACTGCGGTGCTAAAAAAGTAAATTATCCTCTAATTCCCGAGGCAACTCAAGAGGTCTTAGCTGGCTTCCTTTGCAGTCACACAAAGAAAGACTCATGAGGTTGCCCACATTTCAAAGCCACAGTCAGATGTTTAAGGATTATAACGTTATGAATACAATCACGATGTACCAGCCCTGTTAATGATGCCTGGAAGCTGGGCATGCATGGAACTCAGCAGAAGGAGGCTTGATGAGATCAGAGCAGTATGTGCAGTGTACCGGCAAGTGCAATGTACACGGGTATGATGAACAGTGTACTGTAGGTAAGTACTAAACTGTACGTACGACTGGCTCTCTAGCACTGACCTTCTCAGCCACCACGTGTTTGTCCTTCAGCCGCTGACTCAGGTCCACGATTCGCTTCTCCAGGGTGGTTATCTTCTTTCCCATCATTTCAATGTGAAGCTCTTTACTCTCCAGGTTGGTTTTAGTAGTTTTCAGGCGGCGTTGAAGGTTATAGATACTGGTCGACTTCTCTGCTATCTCTGAAGTCTGAAGAGACAGGTTGACAAGCAAGAGGCACACTTAAGTTATGCGGCTAAGAACTTGAAGAAGTGAACTCAAATGACGAAGGAAATTTCAGCCACCGAATTACATCATCCTGATGTCACAAGTTCATGGTTGTTGGGGGGAAGGGGAGGGGGGGGGGGAGGGGAAGGGAGGGGGAGGGGAAGGGAGGGGGGGGGGGAGGGGAAGGGAGGGGGAGAGTAGTTCTACCCACAGCTTAGGTTTGGTATGGTACACACATACATGTACTGAGCTACTCAGATCACAGATTGATGGTGGGGGGGGGGGGGGTAGAACTGAGCACATGGCGTACTGCTATATGGCAGGTTGTGTCTGCATTTAAGTAGCAACTTGTACTGATACGACGTGTAATGCGTCGTCGACTGTGATATTGCTCACACAGAAATGCATGCACATACATGATTGTGCACTGTACTCGCTGTATCCCACAGGTAACTACACTGAACACCATCATAGCTGGCCCGGTTAGTGGTTAGTCATCAGTGAGAATCACATTCGCGGGCACCACAGCCTTTTTTGCGAATGATGTCGTGGTGGTGAGTCAGCAGAATCGCTTATGGACGCTGTGTATACAGCGTGAGTCGACGGAACCGCTTACGGGCGCTATGCATACGGCGTGAGTCGCTAGTGAGTTGCTAGCGAATTGCTAGTGCATCACTGTGCTGCGACCCCCCCCAAAAAAAGAATCTTAAAACTGATAACGTAATCGCATAACCTCTCTTGTTAGCCATCACGTACCTCTTGCCTGAGCAGCTGGTCAATGCGTCCGTGTATGGCTTCAGTTTGCATGCCACTGCCAAAATCTTTGGTGAGTTGATCAATCTTCAAAAGGTCACACAGTCTCTTACAGAAGTGTGAATGCTGCAGTGAACATCAAATACATGGAGTTCCTCAGACACCGTGGCCACCATTAAGTAACGGAGAGAATGAAGGTTTGATTTGACAAGGCAAGACAACTTGGGCCATGAATGTCTAATGCAGTCATGCAGCTCTTGTTATGGAGTTATGGCTGCATCAAACCAAGGAAATTATGACTGCATTATGTGTGGTGTAGGCACACCGAAACACTCCTGTACCTGTTTGGTATGCTCACCTGTGCATGCTCCGTTTCCATGTTCTGGAACGTGATGTCCTTCACTTTCAGCTGTGTCTCAAACGTTTCCTCTAGGTGCTCACGTTCCTCCATCTGTCCGCGCAGCTCTTCCAGCTGTGTTTGCACGGCCATAGTGGAGAGTTGCTCTTGTTCCAGCTGTTGGTGGAGAATTGCAATCTCCTCGCTCAGCGACACATTTTTCTGGATGAGCAAGTTCCGGAGGAAAGCAAGAATGTGCTTGTGTTTTAGAATACAACAGGGAGATAAGAAAATGTGCCACCATTCTGAGTTTCATGCTCCCAGCGATCATTGGGGCTCTGGGGCTCTGCATGTGTGTAGCAATCATTCTCATCGGCATGCTATGAGTCCTATGTTTGGGATTCTTTTAGGGGGGGGGGGGGATACTTAAACATCGAATTCAATTCCACAGCCCCACTGTATCGGCTGCTGGAGAGCAATTTCCACTTAGTACCTTATCATCAGTCTACAATACTCCTATACTACTATATACATTTAGATACTATGACTATTACTACTTTTATTATACAGAAACCAGAACAGGTTCAGTTATAACTTATAACTCAGAGTTTCGTACGCACCTTGATCCTGGGAAAGTATTAAGATTGTGAAATCATTCTGTTGTATAACTTCTAGGGTTGTAGTACCAAGAGTCCATAACCCCAAGAGTGTGCAACTGGGGAGTCTGACTGCTGTAGGCCCACTGCGCGGCGGAATTCCGACATTACGTCATGCCGGTAAGGCACAGCTGTACAAAACTCCGCATTCCGCGGTGCTTGGAACCCGGGAGTAGTACAAGCGTAACGAACGTATACATCATTGTTGACGTAATGTTGGAATTCCGCCGCGCGCATCCCCATGTACAGAGTTGCACGATCCTGGGGTTATGGACTCTTGGCAGTACTAGTAGCTACAGTTTACCCAAACTTTACCGTATTTGTACATGTACAGTGCCGGTATGTGCTATGAGCCTATGATCAGTGATGGATCTCTGGATCTCTGTGATCAGTGATGGATCTCTGTGATCCACCTGATCAGTGATGGATCTCTGTGATCCACCTGATCAGTGATGGATCTCTGTGATCCACCTGATCAGAGATGGATCTCTGTGATCGACCCACCTGCTCCTCAGAATGTGCTTGCTCTCTGAGGGTCTTGATCAGCTCCGTCAGTTCTGACACGTTGCTCATACCGTTGGATGCATCGCTGCTTTCCCTGCTACTGGTGGAGCCTCCTCTGCCAATGCTCGCTGCTTCAGACACATGCCGCTGCATGTTCGAGAGCTGAATGTAACGACACGGTAAACAGCCATAGTGAGAAAAGTCTATCGTAGTATACCTGCATCTATGAACATGAGGACGGGGAAAATTCACGGTTCGTGTGAGACTCGGGTGGAGGCCGAGTTTTCCGTATCTGTAGGAACACCACCACCCTCTAGGATGGAAATGTGTCACCGTCTATACATTTACAGTTAAAGATGTAGACCCAAGTAAAACAAAACCAAAGAAAAAGAAATGTCCTCCCCGGCCGGGAATCGAACCCGGGTCTTCCACGTGACAGGCGGAGATACTTACCACTATACTACCGAGGATTGACTGAACGCATGAGTTGAAACAATCAACTTGATGCATGCTACAACAGGCCCTGGCTTATTGCACTACCAGAAGAAGTCTGGTCGGATGCATGCCTGATCATTCATTTTTTATTTCTTTCAATGAGCACAAAACCAAGAGCCTATAAACAAGAGTATGCAACTGTGATCTCTTTTCTACGGGCCAGATGCGCGGCGTGCTGCCTTCATTGCATCATTCAGCTGCAGTCCGCGCACTGCGGAAAATCAAACACTGCACTTTCCCTCCAGTTTGAAATGAACTTTCGTACAGAACTGAAGTTCACGCGCCAGAATTCAGAGATTGTGTAGGTACTGGAACGAATCGAGCAAAAACGGATGGGCTCGTGCGAGAAATTGAGAGTTTGGATGCATGCTTTCAGAGCGTGATGAAGGCAAGTTACGTAATGAAGGCAGCGCGCCGCGCACTGACCCATAACCACAGTTGCATACTCTTGTTTATGCACTCTTGATAAAACCCATGATGGATGGTTGTTGAAAGAAAACTTGTGGCCCAGCCAAAGCCTGATCTGCAGCTGAATGGGCACATTGCTCCTGGTATGAGTGACTGCTTTACTGGCGTATGACTAGAAAGACTTGAAAATGAAAAATATACAGTGGATTTGATTGCATCAGTTGTGTACAGTATTGGCACGGTGAAGACGGTAAATAAAAGTGCAGGTGTGATGGATCATACTCCGTCTCGCCTGTCAGCCTGCTGAAACATGTGTACAGGCTACCCGGCACGGCTCGGGAACTTGAGAAACAGTTGGTAAGAAGCGCATGGTAAGGAAAACCTTCTGTTGAAAAGTACCCCCCCCCCCCTCCTCCCTCCCTCCCTCGACTCCAGCCACAGGGCCAGTATTAATGTAAATGTGAGTGAGTGTTGCCTCAAGTTGCCGCCTCGGTGCAGGTCAAGAGGTGTTTACTGTATGCACCTTGGCATACAGAGCATACGTGTCATGGAAACGGTTGCTAAAGTAACTATTAACATACTTCAATAGTTTGTTTGTGCCTCTCTCCTTCCAGACCGGATATCGTACTTTCCAGCATCAATATTCTGGATAAGAGTGAAGCAAAACAAAACAAAATTAGGCAGATAATACATTATAACAAAAGCACGAGCAATCAGTAAACGTGTACCGGGGCAATGCCTCGCATCCTACTTCAACGTACAGAAACAGGGCAACCGATTGAAGCGAATGCTCTCTCTCCTTTTCTCTCTCTCTCTCTCTCTCTCTCTCTCTCTCTCTCTCTCTCTCTCTCTCTCTCTCTCTCTCGGAGTTGGTCTGGCACTGCGGGGAAACATCTGTGAGCAGATGTCTGAATGGTGATCATTCCCAGTGTTGGTTCCACAGATCCCAGGCTGTCACATGATAATCTGTGTGCATGGGCACTAAACCACAGTGAAAGCAAGCACGGGGAGACTGCGGATGCATGCTGATACTGTTACTGTGCTTGGTTGCCTGTTCACAACAGCTTCACCTGACATGCTGAATAAAGTAAATTCATCCAGCAAGCCAAGCATAATAGTACTCACTGGTCATCTTTGTTCGCTACTTCATCCCTGATCCCGGCTAGTCTGCCCTCGTTGACATCAAGCTCGGCCTTGCGGAGGCGATTCTGGCGTTCCAGGTTCTGAACTTGATCCAGAGCTCGCGTCTTCTCCTGCAAGAATGGTCACACGGCGGAGAGGAAACAGCGCCTCAGATATGCAGGTGCAGATTCTGAGACCATACCCTTGTCCTAAACAGACAAACAGTATGTGACACTGTCACATACTGGTAAAACGGTAAAACCACCTACAGAAGGAACTAAGTACAGTAAACTGCTTGCGAAAACGACCCTCGGTCGTCGTGCGTGAGAAAAGGCCGTTGTTTGCGAGGCTTAAAGTCAAATGGGCACTAGGTCTGAAGATTGCGTCGATGTTCGTGAGTTGTTGTTAACCCCGAGGTCGTTATCCATGGGTGGGACTACAGTCAACCTTAGGTTGACTGTAAGGTTGACTGTAGTGTAGGGCTCACTCAAATCTAACTTACCATTATAGCCATACTGATGTACCGTGTTTTCCGGAGTATAAGCCGCACCTTAAACACTCGTACTTCACTCCAGAAAAGTCAGTGTCGCTTATACTACACTGGTCAATTGGATGGTGGTCACAGTGATATGCACAAGGTAGGTGTCCGCTGTATTTCGTAACAAAAATGTCTGGGTGCGGCTTATACTTCAGTGCGGCTTATACTCGAGTGCGGCTTATATTCCGGAAAAGACGGTACCAATAGACTGAGTTACTCAGTCACTCACACCACATACCACAGTACCAAACAGTGAAATCAGACCACTCACTCGAGAACCATGCCGTGAGTTACGTGGTGGCCGCATGAACCAAAGCAGTATTGCCACTAGTGGCGTGCTTTGCAGGGGACATTTGAAATTGCACAGTCAGGGTGGTTTCCGATTGCTGGAGAAGTACAATGCTGCAGTGTCATGCAGCACAACTGACCTGTTCAGATTCTTCCAACTCCCTGCCGCGAGCTTCCAGCTGGGCAGTCTGGGCCTCGATTTCGGCTGCAAGTCGCAGTATTGTACTCCTATACACCAGCACCGGAAACAGGAAGACTACAATTGGCACAATTCAGTGTGGTGCTAACACACTGGTCCTATCAGGTGCTGTGAACACACAATGTACATGATGATGATGAAGCACATGTCGATCCACGGCGGTAGCGGTGTCTCTACGGACACGGAAGATCATTCATGATCATTGGAATACACGTGAACTATGAACTAGACTATTATGATTGAATGGCATGTGAACTGTGACATAGATCCAATACAGATCCATTATAGATCCGTTATTAGTACTGATTCGAGTCCTGGTTGTGACGGTCAATATTTTTCTTAAGTCTTCCTATATGCAACTTTCCTTCACACTTTTAAAACGATTCCTTACTGGTTGGCTCTGACTTGATGTTCCAAATTTGTCACGCTCGTTTCCATGGTTTTGTTGGTGTCGCCGAGTGTCTGGCAACTCTGCACCTTTTCCGAGATCTGGAGACAACACACAAGCAGAATCGAACTAGGCTCAATATCCGGAAACACCCGCAATGTGCAAAGCGGCTTCTGCATTGCCTGAGCCAACAAAACTGTAATGCCACGCCATCAGCTTTTGAACAGAATACAGACCAAGTATGTGTTTGAGAAACGAGACGCGGACACATACCCTCCCCTCTCCTGCCCCTCACACACACAGTCATGTTGGTTAGTACCTTTTCGAGAATTTCCTCGTCGGTGGCTGTATCATTCAGTGACAAAAAACGTGTGATCTTCTGGATCCTGGTATCATGCTGCATCAAGAGAGAAACACAAACACACAGCGAAATGCAGGAAAGTGTACAATACATGCATTGGCTCCTTATAAGTGCAGAATACCGGTATGAATGATATACGAAAGAAGGCTCCAACAACGCAACAGACAGGACCGCCGGAAGCAGTTTTCGATTGGTCCGGTAGTATCATGGCTTTTCATACTTTGTGTAGGATTATGGCGGGTACACATGACCTCCACAGTAGTAAACAAGTGCAGGTGGCCAAAAGGTTGGTCCGGTGATAACCTGACCAACCGGACCGGTTCCGGCGGGCCTGCCAGAAACAGTTTCAAACTATATCCTGGCATTAAGACATGCCAGGATATCAGGAAATTCACAGTCCAGCTTTCCACACTGTCTCATCCGAAGTGATCCCATGTATTATTAATTTGCCTCCCTTTCTTTTTCTCTCCCTATCTCCTTTCCCTCTCTGACAGCATCTTTCTTTTTTTTTTTTTTCCCTTTTAGCTTGCCGTGGTTGGCTATCACCTGACCTCTCATGTTTATTGGCAGTCTTCGGACGGGCCAGGAGATGTTGAATAAATAAATAAATAAATAAATACCAAAAAGTACCCCCCCCCTCCTTCCTGCCCTGTGACTGCGCTGCATTTGAGGATAATGAGGGGTGAGGTATAGAGGAAAAGGGAGAAAGAGAGCAAGAGAGAGGTTTATCTACAGGATGCATGTACAGTACCCAGGGCAATGCATGCTGAGAGCTTTGCTTCACACCTGTATTTACTGTAAAAGCAGAAATTTTCGGTGGTCACGGTTTTATTTTCGGTGACTTCGGTGCTGACAATTTTTACCGAAAATAAAACGCATCGAAAATTTCGGTACTACCGGTACTGTATACATTTAGTACTAGTACACTTTTAATACCCGGAAAACGGGTTTTACCGAAAATTTCCCTCCACCGAACCGCCGGTTTTGGAGAATACCGAAAATATTACACCACCGAAAATTTCTGCTTTACAGTAGTACTACTACAAGTATTTACAAAACTGCGTACCAAGCCCAGCTGATGGTCGAACTTAGTACATACCTAAAGCATCTCAATATTATGCTACACATACTGTTTTTGCTTGACATCCTCAGCATGCTCGTACATCAATATTATTGTGTTATGACAAAATGCTATTTTGAAACTTACCATTTTTCTCCAAGCATCCCTTGCTTGACAAGCTTCTGTACGCTCAACCTCTATCTCTTCCAAACGTTTGTGCATTTCTGATGACGTTCCGGTCTGGGGTGGAATTCAGATCAAGTTCACAGACAGATTCTCAAACCATGCCAGTTCATATTTTCCTCAAGAAGCCTGAGTAGGCACATACAATGCACATGAAGTCATTGGTTAGCAATAACTTAGCATCCTATCTCTCTGTCTATGTCTGTCTGTCTATGTCTGTCTGTCTGTCTGTCTGTCTGTCTGTCTGTCTGTCTGTCTGTCTGTCTGTATGTCTGGCTGTTGTTTGTATGTATGTCTCTCCCTCCAAGACTGAGGTCCCAGCCTAAGCACAGCAAAGTGGACTTGAGTGAACACAGATGGCAGTACAACCTACAATGCGGGGTTCAAGTGTCCACAGGCCGGCGGGGTTAAAGGGGAAGTTAAGGCAAAAATTAAAATTCCACCAGTTGTAGTCTTCGGGGTGCTGAGTCGAATGGTCTTGATCCGAGAAAGCTGGGACGCTCCCTTCCTACTTGAATCCCAATCGAACTCGCGCACTTCCACCGAAACTGGGTGACTACGCCCTACTACATGGGGATTTGTATGCAAAATGTCACTAAAAGCGCCATTTCGTTCTTATAAAAGCACGGATGACCACGATTGGCCCATATGTTGTAGTCTTTTGGACGCTGAGTCGACTGGTTTTGGTCCGAAAAGGCTGCGATGCAGCGTTCCTCCTTTATTCCCAATCGAACATGGTTGAACAAGCGGTCACGTGCTCCTGCGTACACCAGTCACCTGGTCACCGTGCCTGCAGGGTACAACTTACTAGCCTGTTTGACCTTTTTTGGGTGCAGTCCTGTCACTCGAGTTGAACTCGAGTTGAACCTTGGTGTGAAAGTTGTCGCCTGCTGGCGTGGTGACCAGGTGATTTGGGCACCCAGGAGCACGTGACCACTTGTTCAACCATGTTCGATTGGGAATAAAGGAGGAACGCTGCATCGCAGCCTTTTCGGACCAAAACCAGTCGACTCAGCGTCCAAAAGACTACAACATGTGCCGGGCCAATCGCGGTCATCCGTGCTTTAATAGGAACGAAATGGCGCTTTTAGTGACATTTTGCATGCAAATCCCCATCTAGTAGGGCGCAGTCACCCAGTTTCGGTGGAAGTGCGCGAGTTCGATTGGGATTCAAGTAGGAAGGGAGCGTCTCAGCTTTCTCGGACCAAGACCATTCGACTCAGCACCCCGAAGACTACAACTGGTGAAATTTTAATTTTTGCCTTAACTTCCCCTTTAACCATCAATTGGTGCAGGGGGGGGGGGGGGGACCAGTATATGTATAAACGCTAACTGCATATACACGCACGCGTGCACACACACACATGCACAAGCACACACATGCACAAGCACACACACACACACACACACACACACACACACGTATACACATGCACACACGCACGCACGCACACACACACACACACACACACACACACACACACACACACACACACACACACCCACACACACACACACACACACTGACAGCCTGCATTCACTAGAGGTCCAGACTCCACAAGTAAACACAGCTCCCATGGCACTCATCAAAAGAGACTCACCAGCGCAGACAGCTTGCTCTCTGCCACCGTCTTCAGTGCTTCACTGTCGGCCTTGGTGTCCTCCGCTTCATGCAGCCTGCGTTCTAGTGCCGCAACTTCTTCCCTGACTGCCGCAAGCTGTGATTCATGCCGGGACGTGTCCTCTGTGGTACTAGTGACTTTAGCCTGAGGAACAGAAATGCAGATCACCATAGCTCTTATAGAAGGTAAATTTTGCTCAACACACATGCTTTAAAGTGCTGGATCATCTTCCAGTGATTGTACTGTGCCAATACGCCCTGGAATAACTGCTGCAAGCATCCCAAGTTCTAGAGCTATTCCCTATTGACTGATACTCATTGTACACACACACATCGTCTATCCGGGCGGTCCAGGAACGCCGGGCACTGCCCATGCACTGTCCATCGCTTTTAACATGTCCGTAGGTGAGAATCACATACATTTTGATGGAGAAAGGCTATAGATATGGCACATGGCGTCCTTATTTCTACAAAAGTGACAGAAGAGTAGTAATATTTCCACTGACACTCGCCCGAAGGGTGCCCGGTAGACCGAAGTGCTTCGGGATCCGGATAACCGAGGTATGAATGTACTTGCATTTCAAACATCGTTGGTCCAGTAAATTGCAAAATAGTACTAGCAACACCCACTGGCACCATCAGGATGTCCGTGCACACTCTAATGTCTGTGTATTCATTCAAAATTTAACGTGAAACGGAATAGCACCTGTATTTCACCGGCTTCTTTGGTCTTCTCGGACAAGCTGAGCTTGGCTTGCTTCAAGTCCGCTGCCAATGTTGTTGTCCGAGTTTTCTCAGTTGCCAAGCTGCTGCACATCTCCTGGACTTTCTCTCTCAACTCCTTCACCTGAACAGGCAGAAATATGGGAGATCCCCTTTTCAATACTCCAAACCGATGAATGGATAACATATGGAAGATTCGTGAACAGTTTCCTCGGAGACAGGAATGCAAACGGATATAGAAGATTGTTACATTTTGCGATCAAAAGCTATCACTGGGACTGGGATAAGCACAAGCAGTGTGCTGCAGCTTTATAGCTGACACCAGTAGATCTACTATCTCACGTGTAATAGATTACACACACCAACGGGTTGTAACAGAGAGTATAGTTGAAATGTTTTAGGTTGCAACTGGCTATTGCGTTTAGAACGCATAGATAGCGTGGGAAATTTCTCTCAATGCCAAACCATGCACAACTACATGCCTGAGTATGCCCTGTATTGGCAGCAAGCGCAGCACCTCACCTCGAGAACGAGGTGTGAATCAGCTCAACCAAGCGCCTAACAAGGGCACATCCTTGTAAGCTGGCTGCATGGTACAATCTGCCCGACTTGTGTCTATAGTGTAACCGGCTCCTGTACAAGTGCCCATAACTGTTTTGGGATCCGCAACAAAATAATCCTATAAGTTGTTTCTTTCCAACTCCCTCAAATGAATGAGTTTTTTTAAACTTTTTTTCTTTTCTACCATAATTACTAATAGCCCATGCATCGTTACCTGCTCTGCGGATCTCTCCGACTCGTGCCGGTTGTGAAGCACCTTTGCAATTAGCACTTTGGCGACTTCATCCGTTGTGGCAGTGGGTGATATGGAAACTCCGAGATTCTGTGCAAGCTGTTGGCCCAGCTGTAGACCCTACAGGGTGGTAGTAGCATATGAAGACAGGATTAATCATTGCTCCATAATAAGATATACTTCGAGTAGAATAAGAACAATCTTGTTGTCTAGGAGATGACCAATCACCAATGTTCTCGCTATGGACACTACCAGAGTTTAAAAAGCCAGCTCATCATTACTGATTAGTTTAGATATGGCGTTAGTGAGTTATAGAAGCTTATCTAAATGGGTATATTTTAATATAATGGATCTCCTGGCAGTTTCTAAGCGGAACACATGATTGGCGTGCACCAACTTGATTAGGTGAATGTCACGGTCTGTATGGTGATGCGATTCAGTCCCAGGCATTAGTGACACCAGTGTGCTATTTTGTGTATGGTGGTAATCCACAGTACTAACAGCTAGCAGAAGGTTAGGAGTAGGTTGCCGAGCGTTGCATACATAGTTGGCCAATGGTCTGGGAGAACCTTTTTTGCACGAAACTAATATGGTGAGTCACGGCACATGTACATGTACTTGAAGTATGCGAATAATAATTATTATATATTTGCTGGAATAACCCAAGACAGGTGAGTAGCCAATCAGAAGTGACGCCAGTTTCGCGGCAGCTTTGTTCAGACTTACATTCAAGCCAGTCGCTAGTTCCTGGGTGCGTATGAGACGGTTGTTTTCATCTCTGTATGGTACAGACCAATACAAGCACATCACCAAAGTCACAATGATATGGGTCAGGAGCATGGAATCGTCCTTGTTAGTCGATATTACTGTTGTGTTGAGTCAGCGGTGTAGAAATAGGAATCATTACAGCAATGAAAACCGAATACTATTGACTTAGAAGACTTTCGAATGCAATACCGACAATGCAAATGCGAGTTATGAATTTCCAAATCGATTTCAGGAGCCTTTTTTTTCTTTCTTTTTTCTACAAAATCCACATATCTCCAGACACTGGGGTGAATGATGGAGTGTGGTGGTGGGGCCCATTAAGCTCCGCCGACCAGAGGTCTCGGCTTCATAACTCCATGGACGCACTACATGTGTAATCATGGGGAACTGTTGAAGCTGTGTCAAAATGCGGAGTATGCCCCATTGCAAGCAATATAAGCATACAGCTTCCTCATACAATCATTATCCTTATCCTTAGCCTTAGGTGCACATGTACACTGCAACATCAATAATTGTTGTATTCATCATGGACGATGTTGAAGCTGCATCTAGCTGTATGTATGATGACTGCTTTCACGGCACCTTGGCTCTCTCTCTCTCTCTCTCTCTCTCTCTCTCTCTCTCTCTCTCTCTCTCTCTCTCTCTCTCTCTCTCTCTCTCTCTCTCTTCCAATCCCATCGTACTATTTTAAATCCAAATATTCTGAAACACTACGGTACCTACCTCAGCCTCACGATAACCTTGCTCTTCTGTGAGGATACCTCTTTCACCTCCGCATTTTCCTTCTCTAGCTGTGAGGAAGAATAAATGGACAAAAGCAGAGAAGAGCGGTGCTCATCATCTCCCTGACCTCATGCACCATGCACATGGTGAGCTGTGAACACTGGTATTCACTTAATCCTGTGTGGCGGCTGGTCAAGTTACCATCCCGGCTAAAGTCGGGTCGCCACAAGCAAACAATTCAATGCACTTTTTCAGGCACAGTTGCCCATTTTTTCAATTACATCACTATTGTTGGTTACGCGCATTTTTTTACGTGCATTTTTTTACATTTTAGGGTCAAAACACCTGATTGTGATTTTACCTAAGGATACTGATTTGAAGAAACATCTGATGCTTGCATGCTATTGTGTGCTGTGGATATTGTAGATAGCAGTCATGTACATGTACATGTGGTTTAGCATTGCCCACTGGCTGGACTTGAAGACCATCCCGAGAACATTGCTAGTACTGTAGCGGACATGGGAATCCAGTCGATTGACCGGGGCCGGCGCCCTCAGCCCGTACAGAACGCTGCGTGCATGCAGTGCACAAAGTAATTAGTTCCTATGTAACTCCGCGATGCGACCATGTACCAGCGCGCTGCATCGCATGTTCCGTTTATCCACGGCTGCATGGCCAGCGCCCTGGGGCCGCCAGACGTGCGACCGGATTTCCATGTCCACGACAGTATATGCCGTTGCACGTGAAAGAAGCGACGATGAGAGGAGACACGACGACTGACAATAGTGCAGCAGCACTCGTGTTTGCAGGTCCTTCAAACAATGATGTCATCAATGATGTCATCAATCAGCAACCAGCCGACTAGCATTACTATTACTAATACTACCAAGAGCACAAAGTTCCCTAAGAGAGGCTAAGAGTATGCAACCCTAGTGATCCTCCATGGATCATAGTTAGGCCTAATCATGATTCATGACATGGCATGAAACTGAGTGATGTCGTTCACGCATACTATTAGTATACGTGAACGACATCACTTTCATGCCATGATGATGTCATTTGGCTTCTGGGAGAGGCTCCTGCCATTGCCCCTTACATGAGTTCGACGCATCCTGCAGTTGCAAGCAACCTGGCTATAATCATAGCTTTGTACAACGTCCAAATGTAAAGACATGGGCTGTGAATTCCGATATAAAGCCACGTACGCAATTGAGTTGCGTGCTGGGTATATCTACACTCTTGCTAACACAGGCAGTGTTGTCCAGTGAGGTTAGACTACATGTGTAAGCACTGCACTTGAATCCAGTAGCATTTGACACCCCATGCAGCTGTGCAGTCCAGCATGCATTCATATGTTAACCGTGTAACTATAACTTGCGGTGTGGTTCTCGCAGGCAAGTGGTCGCTTTTCACTGACCAATATCAATACACACTACAGTGTCTGCTCCAGCGCCGGGTGAGCCGGGTAATCCACCCGGTTGGGCGGCGCTCGGACCTGGTTGAAAATATAGTACCGGGTCACCTGTGACCCGGTTGGTACTTTACACTTTCGAACTTTGAAAGGACTGACTACATGTCCATGGCTTGTATGTGTCAGATACTTCTTCTTCTTTCGTAGTTTTCTAATTCCTGTCCTCTCTTTTCTAAATGCGGCTTATCCATTCGCCTTTATATCATTGGGCCTAGTTCCCGTTTATTGTCCGAATTAAAATAAACCAACCAACCAGTTAAGGTGGCTGGGGCGGTAAGCATGTAAGCTGGTGAGACAGCGCTAGGTACATTGTGTACCCTGCACCGACCCGGTTGAAATGGTTGCGCCAGGTACACGTGTACCCGGCTGTCCTACAAGACACTGCACTAGTACAATGTCAATGATGGTACATACCTCCTGGATTCGCCGTTGTTGATAGCTCTCACCCATGATGGAATCTCCATTGTGTGAAGACATCCTGCTGCTACTGGTCTCGGCCTGGGTCCGAGGTGGCAATCCAGATGAAGATGACAAACCCCGGCGGTGGGTCAGTGCAGTACTAGTTTGGCCAGACTCTGTGTCGGTCCGGAGCTGCTCAGCAGACCGTGTACCGGCGAAAGTCATCTCACTGCTGCTGTTGAGCGGCGTCGCCGGTAGGCCGCTGTCTGTACCATTGACACTGGCACTCAGTCTTCTGTCACCTGCCCTGTAGAAACCCAGCGTTGTCGCCGGTCGTTCATTACCTCGACCTGCACTACTAAGCGATCCAGCTACTGATGATGATGATAATGATGAGAGTGGACGTGAGGAAAATGCAGTAGTCGGTCTGGGCTCGGTCGCATGATCGCGGATCGGCAGCGCAGCACGTCCAGTTATTCCCAGTGGTGACGACTGGCCGGGTGTACGATTGCTGCTGCCGGCAATGCCCGAACTGGTGCTGGATCGTGTCGGCTGCTTGCCTCCCGTCTTTGTAGCCTTATCCGTGCTGCTGTTCGTAGGCTTGCGACCGCCTCCACTGCCTCCAGGCCCATGTGCGCCAAGCCTCTTCTTCTGTGCTGGTCGCGCACCACTGGACATCTTTACCTAGTAGATCTACGGTTGGACCTCTAGCTGATCTTCAGAACTGAAGCCTAAAAGTAAAATAATCAATCCTACGCTATTGTGTCACCGATCAGAAAAATGGACCGCTCCATTCAAAAACTGATAAAATTAGATTCTCGGGTGGCATTCGTGCCAAGACTGCGTGACTGGGAGAGTGAGAGCCAAGATTGACGACTATTCTCACTGCTCACCACCCTAGGCAATAGCTCGCGATTGACTGTACGGGCGACCTTTCCCTGAATATCGTCTTTACTTCGACCATTGGCATTGCTGCCGAAAACTCTAGCGTTTAGGGGTCAAAAGATACTCTGCAGAACGAACCTGTCTTGCTAGATCAGATGTTCAAATCTCGTCACGAGCTGTCGGCTGTCTCGATCTCACTCTCAGTCTCAGCACACAGGCTCGGGCTAGGCCAGGCAGGAGGCAGGAGGGGTGTGTTGTTTACTTTTTCCCGGTTTGTACGAGTACAGTCGTATGTTTGAGGGATTTCGAATCGAACTCAGAATCAGATGCGTAGGTTTGGAGTGAATGCTAGCTGCTACTGCCTGGTTGCGATGCGTTGTTCTGGAAACGCTTGTCGCTATGACCTTGGATGCTTGATGAATGATGACTTCATCAAGTAGTTAGTTTATGTCACAATAATATATTTTTGTGCTGCATGCATGTCATGACGATCATGACGTCGCGATCGCCGAGATATTATTGACACCATGGAGTACTAATTTTAGTACTCCCTGATTGAAACAGACAGTCGAGCGATGTTTCGCATAAACATCCGACCAGGAGAACACTTTTTTGGGGTTTGCTTCTTCATAAGATCAGACATTCAGTTTCTCTGAGTACTCTACACTCCGGCGATTAGTAACGTTTTGATATTGTTAGACTAAGGCAGGTGACTATGCAGCGGAGGAGCCAGTCCCTCAGCTGTTGAAATTAGGATAGGGTAGATTTGTCGCCGATTTTTGTAGGAAGGCTGTTTCACGTAGTGGAAAATGAGTTATCGTGAGCATGACTTCGAGGTAAGTGAATCCTTTTCCACATTTAGTAAAATAACCTGGCTTAGACCATTACCATTCTCAACATACATGTATTTCAGTACTGTTGTAAATTAGCAGTAGATTACTCGCAGAACTGCCAACTTGTATATCTGTGTACTCCAGATTATTCGTACAAATTCCCCCAAGTTGGTGATCTGACTGGTCTGAACACACATGTACCGTTCGCCAGGGCCCTTTCACATAGTGCTACAAGACACCGTCCATGACCCATGGAGTGCACCTTACCAATACCAAGAATTACTGGTATTTACTGCCTTGTATAAGCATAGTCATTATCATGATTGCGAGACGAAACAAATTTCTCATCACACATTACTATCACGTGTTCCTCGCCCACCAGCTCCTTACAGAACGTACCTGTACTAGAATAGTTTGGTAGCGGGGGTACATAAGCTACCGTCAAGACCCGAGAGTACATAACACTCCCAACAAGAATGTGCGACTCCGCATAGGTTTGCCATGAGCCTGGCGCAGGTGCACCATGGTGAAGTGCACATCTACAATGCATGTTCGACGTTCAAGCGTTAGTGATGAAATAAATGCTGCATGCACTGTTTTTGGACCTGCAAAACAACAAAATTATTCTCTCGAAAACTCCCCTTTCATGCAGAAAATGTGTGTGGATGACATCATAATGACATCATAATGACATCATAATGACATCACTATGACATTGTGCACATGGTCTATATGACCTTGCACAGTTACGCAAGTGGACGCATGAAAGTAGGGAGTCGTACAAAGCTTGTGCGTTTGTACAACTTCCTGGTGAACGTACGATACATGCAGGAAAGTTGCCTTGTACAAGGGTCCGCTCACTGCCTGAAAGGGCTGGGCAGCTTTCAGGCTTTCCGGCAGATCCTTGTATTTGTCTTGGAAAATTCTTTATAAATGTGACGTATAGGCTGATTTGTACCAAGTCTGAAGAGAGCCTCAGGCTGACCATGGACCACGCTGATGTACAAGAGACTGGACCGTACCACAGGTATACAGAACTGATTACGTGTGTGTGTGTGTGTGCACATGTGTGTGTGTGTGTGTGTGTGTGTGTGTGTGTGCACATGTGTGTGTGCACATGTGTGTGTGTGTGTGTGTGTGTGTGTGTGTGTGTGTGTGTGCATGTGTGTGTGCATGTGTGCAATTTCTAGGACCCATTTGATCCGGTGGAGTTTGTCGAGCACTTGATGCAGAGTGTTGTGTCGCGCCAGAGGCGGAAGGATGCTCTAGAAGTGGGTCCTAAGCGTGGTTCTAACACGGATCTAAAGAGCTCTCCGAAGTCTGACCGTTGGTCGCCAGGGACATCTCAAAAGCAGGGTGGGGAAACCCCGCCGGCTACAACTAGTCATGGCAAGAAGAAAGCTGAGCTGCCGTCAGCAGAGGTGGACTCGTTCGACCCACAGTCGTTGCTCTCGGCGTTTGACGAGGCTTTAGTTGACCTTAACGCGCTGAGCGAGCGGGTGGAGCGGCGAGTTGACAAGCTGATGAAGGTCATTCAGAAAGAGGAGGCAGAGACGAAGGGGGCAGTCAAGAGCGTTGAGAAATCCGTGGAGGTGAGTTGCCGTCTTGTGCCAGTATTTTTGTTGGATCAAGCATTAATGCATGCATGTATGAGTAGCTGTGATATCCTTGTGTAGTTGTTTGCTGCTCCGAACTTAAGTCTGCTCATTTGCCTGTATAGCTAGAAAGCTGTGTTCTGTATCCAGTGTTTCTGTTCTACTTCATCCAGCGTTTATTTCTGGGTTTCTTCGTCCTTGCTTCATTGCAGAATGCCAGTTCACAGTTCCAGGAGCTTGACGATCGCATCAACAACGTCGCCAAGAAGGTCGTTCATCTTGGTGACCAGCTGGAGGGTGTCAATGCAACTCGCTCTCGCGCCGAGGACGCCCTGCAGCTCATGGGCTACTTTGCCAAGTTCCACGACTCCGAGGAGGTCGACGATGATGTATTCATGGTGTCCAGCCGGGTGAGTTAACTGTTTTTTTACAATGGTCAGGCAGGGGGATGTGCAGTAAAACCTGCCCTAACAGGACGCCCTTGGTGCAGCGGAAGCTGTCCTGATATGACAGGATTTCGCTTGATCCAAGGACGCACGTTTGATTCGCAGCACTTTGGTGCATGGAATCTGTCCGATCAATGCAGGATTCTGCTTGCTCCAGGGTCCGGCAAACACAGGTTTTACTGTATAAGAAATAATTATGGTTGTGGGTATTGAGTGTGTGCAGACAGTCACAACTATGACTCCCTCAGTGTGGAAGCAGTCATTTCTACTTGAGCTAATAAAAGCTGCTGCTGCGTATGTGTGTATGTGTGTGTGTGTGTGTGTGCGTGTGCGCGCGCTTGTGTGTGTGTGTGTGTGTGTGTGTGTGTGTTTGTATGCGCGTGTGCGCGTTTGTGCTGTTTAGATTCACGAAGCTGCACTTATCATGCATAAACTTCATCTCATCGCATTAGAACTGCCGCAGGACAGGTAAGCGTAACTTTGGTGTTGAAAGTTTGGCAGCAAAGCTGGAATCTGGCTGGAAGAAAGGGGTTTGCTGTGCAGACTATGCAAGAAATCAGCACTGGACCATGATGTGTTGTGATACTCAGTGTCATCTCTAGTATGATCAGTGTGATGGTGGAGCTGTACATACATGTACATCATGTGATATATCAGCTCCGGCGCTTCAAGTTTTCTTGCCTGTTCGATGCGGGTTTTGACTGTTTTTCGTGCTCTGTGCGCCTTGTCTCCCGTTCTTTGCAGGTTTCTCGTTGCCAAGGAGAGAATTGCTTGTAAGTTGTTGATTCACAGGCTTCCTCTTGGAACTTGTTGGTCTCAGTCTGTTGGTAATGCCTACTAGCATATGGTATGGAGGTGTCAGGTCGTTGAATGTCTCAGTACTCCCTGTCAGTTTTGTGCCGTGTTGCCACACTCTCTGACTGTGTATGATCTAGTTACTTTGTTGGACAGTTAGTCATAACTCGTAACTTATTGTCCTTGTTTGTTTTTTCATGATTATGTTGGCTCGCCGTCCGAGTTAAATACAGAGGACTGGTTGAACTAGCCGCGCGTCTTTCTTCAGTCTGTGTAGTGTGTGTAGTACGTTGGTGTCAGTTGTGCTACAATGTAGGTGAAATCTGAACCCAAGGTGTGTCATTATTGGCACCCAGGATTTTCACGGCCTGTTGATGCCGGGGGGGGGGGGGGGGGGGGAAGTAGTGAATGCTGCCGGGCATGTATCATGCTGCATTGAGACTCTTTCTGTGTGCACCAAGTTCATCTGACATGTGTGTAGAGGTGAATAGACTGCCTTCACATGTATAAAATGTAATACAGTGATGTATTGGGAGCTGTTTTTGGGCGAGTATAAATAGCACATGCCCAGCTTCTACACCACTTCGTTTTTCCTGATAGTGGTCGTAGACAGAGATGCTGAAAAGAGTTTTAGTGAACTGCAGCAGCACGATTTGAGTTGTGATCGTTAGCGGCCATGGGTGTAGCTGGTCCCCCTTTGGGGGGGGGGGGGGCTGCACGACCGCATATGTGTAGGATGGCTGGTGCATGTCATTCATGGTCATTACGTGCATGCTGAAGCTAGGTCAAAATTTTTAGGGGGGGGGGGGGGGGGGGGGGGGGAGGGGTGCTCGCCCGTGCCCCGTGCGAGCTACACGCCTGTCTAAGCCCATACCCTGTGTGCATTGGGCACTGGATGTTGGATTTCACCTAGCTCTACTGTACATTGGTGTGTGTGTGTGTGTGTGTGTGTGTGTGTGTGTGTGTGTGTGTGTGTATGTTTGCTGGCTGTGGCTGCAGATAAGTATGTGGCAGTACAGCGGACAGTTGTAAAGCGGTTTGAAGACGCTTACGCTACGACCAATGTAGAGGAGATGAAGCAATGTGCCAACACACTGCTGCCGTTTGGAAAGGTAATTGGCACGATCTTTTCTCCAGTTTGCTGTGCCCGTGGTCAGTTGTGTGTATGTGCAAGTGTGTGTATGTGCAAGTGTGTGTATGTGCAAGTGTGTGTATGTGCAAGTGTGTGTATGTGCAAGTGTGTGTATGTGCAAGTGTGTGTATGTGCAAGTGTGTGTATGTGTCACTGTGTGTACATGTACTAGTAAATGCCCACGCATGCACGAGTGTGTGTAGGCCCCACAATCATATGCTTGTATATGTGTGTCTGTGCATGTGTGTCTGCGCATCTATTTGTCTGCAATGCATTTATTTACGAACTAAGTAAGAGTGCACTTCTTTAGCTTTTTTAAGTATGATTTAGCTGGAGCAGTGCATCCAATCGATCACAGCTATTCTGCTCTACAGCATCGTTCCTCAAGATTCTGAGCTTTCTGTTTGTCTTTCTCTTTATCATCATCCTGAATGGCACAAGTGAAGTAGGCATCCCCGCTTACATCGCGATAGTGCTTATAATAATAATAATAATAATAATACTGCTCTACTATGCACATCTTCACACTAGTTTCTGCACTATTAACGTTGATGCTGAGTTACTGGTGTTGTTTTGTGTGTACTCTCCCTGTGTTCTAATAGGGATATGAGGATTGTATGTCCCGATTCATAGAATTAGCACAGCAGGTGAGTTGGAAGTCTTAGAGTGCCTTGCTTTGTTGCGTGTTCACTGTTTGGTTAGCACAACACTCCATCATCGACATTGTGTCTTACTTGCAGGCCCCGTGCACTGCCATACTGGGGATTACATGTATATAGCTTTATGTGTACAATCAGTGAATGAAGTATTATACTGTGTGTTGGATGTCTGATGACAGTTCTAGTGTGCATTGGCACAGTACTGGAATACTAACATTGATCTCTCTCAGTGCTTGTGTTTTACCTACATGTACATGTAGCTCATGTGTAGTGTGGGGCAAGACTATTTTGGAAAGAAAGCCAGTGCAGTGTGGACTTCAAGGAAGCTACTGTTCTGTCCCAATGTGTGTGTGTGTGTGTATGTGTGTGTGTGTGTGTGTGTGTGTGTGTGTGTGTGTGTGTGTGTGTGTGTAGGGTCAGTTTACCGGTAAAGACATCTTTGCCGACATTGCATCAGTGGTGAATCGCGTAAGTTCCTGGTGGGATACTGCGTTTGTAGCTGTGTTCCCTGTATTGAAGTATTTTCTAGGTGTGTCTTTACAGCAACAAGAGGTAGTATGGCATGCTGTTGTGACTGCCACTGGTGACTTCCTCTTGATTATGCTGCCTGTCTTTGTTGAAAAGGGTTTTTTTATGATACCACAAGCATGTGCTCAAGTACAGGGTAAGATTGAGTCTTTGTCTTCCGTGTTTTCATCCAGGTATCGGACCTGATATTGAAGATCTTCGAGAATGCTGAAATCGTTTTATCGAAATTTGTCAGCAGCGTGTACGCCAAGCACCTTCAGGTCAGTTTTATGCTGCTGTGTTCTGTTGTTGGGCATATGTCTCTTACTTACTGAGGTGAAGCTGCTGTTGTTGGGCATATGTCTCTTACTTACTGAGGTGAAGCTGCTGCCAGGAGACTTAGAGTGCCTCAGCAATTCTGGGTAGTGTTGCTGCCCTGTCTGAAAAATAATAAATGTGTGATCCTGTACAAGAACTGCTTTCTGTGCGGACTTCAATGGTTTGATTGTACCCCCCCCCCCCCCCCCCCCCCCCGCACACACATACACACAGAAATATACGAACTTAGCAAGCAAAGGCAAGTCAGAACCGGTAGTGAAAGTCCTGGATAATCTAAAGTTCCCGGTGAATTTGAATCACTGGTGTCCTGGTGAATGTTGCAGGAAGATTGGCCACCTATTTCATTATAAAATCGCGATAGTGACTTCATTGCTTTGTTGCTTCCCAGTTGCGTTACGTGCATTTTCAATGTTATATTTCTGGATTGCCATTGTCAACAAGCTGTTCAGCTTAGCATTCGCCTCATTCACATTATGCCTGTTGTTCTTTCTCTACAGAAACATATCATTGCACAGCTGAAGAAAGTTCGCGAACCAGACCTGGAGGTTTATCTCAAAACGCTGAATGAGCTGTACATGAGGTGAGAAGCGAGGTGCTTTTCTGATATTGGGTATTTTTCCCCCTTTGGTACATGTACAACAGGTCTCCACGCGGTGTGCTGACGTCACCAGGCTACTTCACAGTATACAACTAGTGTTGGTGTTTGGACACGTGAGAGTCAGCGACCAGGGTATTCCCCTTTCACGGTGATTTGTTGTTCAGCTGGTGAGCATGACCTGCCACGTGTTTTTTTTAAGAACTCACTGCGGAATTTCTACAAGTTATTCTAATTCCTGTGCTCGTGTTTCCTGGTGCCTGTGTTTGTATGGGATTTAGGACTACAAAGCTGTCTTCGACATTGTCCAAGTGCAAGATGGGCAACGACTCGGGATTCCTGACTCGCATGACGAAGAGTGTCTTCAAGCAGCATCTTGAAGACTTCATGACGTGAGTGTGCATTGTTCAGTGTATTCGGGTTTGGGCTGCTGGATCTATTTCACAATGTCATCGCCATGACTTCGATTGCATGCGTTCTATTCGGTCCGTTCTTTCATGAATAGTGTTGTAGTCTGATCCATTCTCTTGGTATTACTTGTTCGTTCCTTTTAAAGTTGAACATGAGTTATCATCTGTGATTCATAACGTGTGAATAGCGGTGTCGTCTGATCCATTGCCTTGTTGTTCAGTTACAGTGTAAGTAAGATCTAATGGTGGGTCCCAATTTGAGCTTGTTGTTGTTGTTGTTGTTGTGGTATTTGTGTGTATGTGTGTCTGTTCCTTAGTGTTGAGCTGGATAACTTGACCGAACGCTGCTCTGGTGTTCTTAACGAGCACAAGGACATCATTGCACAGAGGAAGGCGGCCACAACGTAAGTGATGGCATCATTTTTATGTATGTGTTGGTTGAACTTGGTTTTACTACATTCATAATTGTCATACTGCCGGAGTACAAGCATTCCCCATGTGGTGTGTTCCAATTACTCTTACCGGACTTGTCAGGTGCCATGGGATCTATGCAGTATACAGTGTACTTTGTGCAGCCATGGCTGGTGCAGTGGGTAGTTGCGGAAACTAGGTGTTACCTGTTCTGTGAGAAGAGTCGGTGCTTGTTGTTTTCATGCGACACTGTACACTGTTGTCCCGCTCTGTAGCGGTCTTCGGCGGAAGGCTAACGACGACGTCTGTGAAGACCTGGTGTCGCACGAGCTGGCGGCCACAATCCTGCATGAGCACAAGGCCGCCATGCTACGCTGTGCTAATGTAAGAATACAGCATGGGCCCCAGTGCCTATGTGTGCGTGATGATAATGTGTGCTAGAGATGTGCAGCGGTATGGTTCCTTACTGCCAGTAGTCTTCCATACCTGTGCTTTGAATATTAGTTTGCAAGGTACAGTGTGACAGAGTACTAGTATACAGGCAGGGGCAGTAGGGCTGAACTTTTCATGTGTAGCCTAAAAGTGATTTAGCCCTCGAAAAAATAAATGCGCTGAACATGTGTAGCCTTACAGTATCCAAAGCAGTGCCATGTTCTCCTATTGCTCAAAGCATGCATGTACACATTGTACAGGCTACTGGTACTGGTTTCTGACCAGGTTACTTGGTCATGGTCAGATCTGTGCCACCTTCTAGTGCTTTTCTTCCATTGGTCTTGCTGGTATGGGGTTTCCCCACTACAGTATGATGTTGAATGACACGCCGTCATGAACGTCTCGCTGATTTTGGAGTTTTGACTACTGTTGTTGAATGACACGCCGTCATGAAAGTCACCGTGTTCGTGCTCTGGCTGCTTTATGTGTAGCTGTCGGCACCGACCGAGCTGCCGCAGAATGCTGCGAAGCTGTTTGATGCGCTCATGGACAGTCTTGTCAATCAGCATCTGATGCCCGCCGTTGAAGTTGGCCTCAATGGTAAGTACATGTAGGGTGATATTGGAATCCACTTTGCTACCTTGAGCTTGCTTTCGTATGCATTCTGTGTGTGACTTGGCGAGTCTCTGTTGGTGGTGAAATGTTACACTCTCTGCTTTTGATACCGCACCACTCCCCTGCAGCATTACCGTCAGCTGAGCCAAAGAACCCGCCCGATATCTCCTTCTTGCGACTTGTTGAGAACACGTCCAGCATTATACAACTACTTGAGAAGCATTTCCGTGACTTTGTTGTTCCTGCTGTCGGGTAAGTCCCATGTTTGTACCATGGGGGGGGGGGGGGGGGGTAAAGTTGGACACGTTGGGCCAGCATAATGTTGTATTGTTCCACTTGCGTATCATTGAAATCTTGAAATGTCCGTTGTGTCGTGGCAATGTGCGCCGTGCTAAGGTTGCGAGTAACCCCCACTCATGCTGAGCACACATGCAATACCTGTACACTGGCACGATTTCAATGTGTTCTGCTACGCGGACTCTAAGCATTCTTGTAATCGTAAAAAGTAACGTTAGCTCGTTCGCGTTACCACCAGCTATACAATTTTGTTGAGAAACACAACCAGCGTAACCAGCTTATGTAGGAAGTTTTGCCTGTGCCAGGCCACCGCCATGCCTGATTATATCAGGGCAGCAGATACAGCGCCTAGTGGCAAGCATGCTTCTACAATACAGTATACGACTATAATGTACTTGTAGCAAAGGACAAGGTTAATCTTCCAATAAGAGAGTTTCCCGCTTGGGTGCTTGCAATTTTTCCACATAATGTACAGTACAGTAGTATTTGCTCAGTTTTGCTGGGCTGACATTTGTCTTGTATTGTGCTTGCCGGTGTCGTGTTCCAGCTCTTCTCCCATCCATGCTGACTGTCTGCACCAAAAGAAAGAACTCTTCCAGAACCTGCAGGGCAAACTGGACACTGGAGTGGACAGGTAGGAGTGTACAGTTTGGTGAAGCTGTGAAAACACTTCTTCTGCACTGGTACATTGGGTCATATGCGTTGTATACGTTTACATACGTCTGTACAATGCGTGCTTGCACTTGCAGTAATATGAAGACTACATGAAGACTACATCGGTTGATGATGTACCGTAAAAGTCCGTAAATAAGTACCTGCCCGAAAGAAATACCCCTTCATTCTTTTGGCTCTGTCTGTTGAAGTCAAGTCAAGCCCGAAAAACATACTGCCCGAAATAAGTACCGGTACGATGCGCACATGCAGCATGTAGCATGTACGTCGACATGAAAAAGACTTCTGCACTACACACAAGTCAGGTCCGAAAGTTTGTTCGTGCCCGAAAGTCAGTACCCGCCCGAAAGTTAGTACGGGTGTGGTCACTAAATTCGAAAGTAAATACGTACTTATTTACGGACTTTTACGGTAGTGACTGGTATAGTGTGGACAGTTGGCTGGCTGGCTGCCCGTGTGTGTTGGTGTAATCGTTGTGCATGCGCCGTCCAGGTGCACCATTCTAGGTTTTCACTTGACCTGCCATTGCAACCACACGGGTCTTGACCGGGTTGTTGTGGGTTATGTGTGGATGTGCATGTCTGTGTGTCTATGTGTGTGTGTGTGCGTGCGTCATTGCCTCTTGACAGGTGCATCTCGGCACAGGCTGGCTATATCCGGTATATTCTGAACAACGAGCAGAAGAAAAGCGATTTCCGACCAGAGGATGGAGCTGCAGCACTGGGGTTCACTCCGGTAGGGTTAACGGCATACTTTGCTTGTGCTTTATTTCTGGGCTCAAAGACTCAAAGCCGCGCTTTTTTCTATGAAAAAAATTAAAAAAACATTCACGGTTCGCTTGGGACTCGGCTAGACTGAATTTTCAGCATCCGTAGGAACGCCACCACCCTGCAAAGATCTACGAAAAATCTAGCCTAAATCACCCTTGCGGCTTATGCCCCGAACATTCATTTATACAAACAAATGGAATGTGAAATTGTCCTGCCGAGAGGGAATGCATCTTATAATTCTTATTATTCTTATATCTGTTGCGTCTCCGGCCCCGGAAGATAATACATGTACATGTATGTTGCCTAAATTCTCGTACCTGTGTGATTGTCGTGCTGCCTGCTGCGCTGTTCTTCCAGGCTTGCAACCATGCTGCGGCTTATCTGAACGCACAGCTGCAGCGCATCTTGCAGTGCGTTGATGGCAAAAACCTGCAGGCGTGTCTGATGGAGTTGGGCACGCGATTCCACCGTGTGCTGATCGATCATTTGCAACAGTTCACCTACTCGTACACAGGTAAGTTGGGTTTAACATTAATTTTTTTTAAGCACTGTTCACGTAAAACTCAGTTAGATGGGTTTTCCGCATCTGTAGGAACACCACCACCCTTAAGGATCATGCGGCAGGTACAGCTCCTAAAGCGGTGGGAGAGTAGACCAGACTCACCACCAAAGTGGTCAAAGACCCAAAATCCCATTCGCTGCATCCACGTTTCCCTTGTGCCACGCCACAAGTTCCCGATAAACTGTGGTTCGTGGCACGGCTATAATTATCCCTCTGCTTCCAAACAGGACTTCAACCTGGTACCCTCTGTATCTCAATCATGGTCTTAGACCATCCTACGAACTATGCCTGCCTGCCAGTAAGTTGGCGTTGTAAGGAGGAAATAGTCGTATTCCACAATAGGTGTCATGTGAGCTTGCTGGTGAGAAGCCAGCATCGCTGTTTTCACCATTCTCAATCATTGTTATTTCATCATACATGGTGTGTGTATATGTGTGCGCGTGTGCCTGTGTCTGTGCGTACATGCATGCATGTGTGCTGTGCTGGTTTGGACTACACAGGAGGAATGGTTGCCATCTGCGACATCAACGAGTACAGGAAATGCATCAAGAAGTTCAAGGTCAGTGAGAATAATTCTCCGCTCTCTCTCTCTCTCTCTCTCTCTCTCTCTCTCTCTCTCTCTCTCTCTCTCTCTCTCTCTCTCTCTCTCTCTCTCTCTCTCTCTCTCTCTCTCTCTCTCTCTCTCTCTCTCTCTCTCTCTCTCTCTCTCTCTCTCTATCTCTCTCTCTCTCTCTCTCTCTCTCTCTCTCTCTCTCTCTCTCTCTCTCTCTCTCCTCTATCTCTCTATCTATCTATCTCTATCTATCTCCTTCCCTCCCTTCCTCCCTCCCTCCCTCTCTCTCTATCTCTCTCTTTCGCTCTCTCTGTCTCTCTCTCTGTCTGTCTCTCTCTCTGTCTGTCTCTCTGTCTGTCTGTCTCTCTCTGTCTCTCTCTGTCTCTCTCTCTCTCTCTCTCTCTCTCTCTCTCTCTCTCTCTCTCTCTCTCTCTCTCTCTCTCTCTCTCTCTCTCTCTCTCTCTCTCTCTCTCTCTCTCTCTCTCTCTCTCTCTCTCTCTCTCTCTCTCTCTCTCACTGGTCGGAAGATCCACTTTTCTGAGGTACTGTATGTGGGGCTCCGTTTATTGAGGTGCGTTGAAATTTATTTTCTTTATCTTATTATTTCTTTTCTATAATTTCCCCATATGAGTTCCTATCAGTTGCTGTGAACACCTTGAGTGGAGAGCGCTTGCTCGAGCGTTGAACCCGGGTTCTTAATCCACCACACCCAGTTCGCAAGGCTGGGCGGGGTTGTGAGCAGGCTTTCATTTCATCTGTTCTTATTGTTTCTGCTTTTCATCTCATTACAAAAATTCGGCGCATTTTTTCTCCATCTGCGCATAAAATCTAGACTGACAACCTGCTTGTTAAATCATGCACCTGCTTTCAGGCGTAAAAACCCTGTTGTAGAGGTCTCAGTCCTCATTTGTTAGACTTACCTGTCTTTATAAATGTAACTTTCTCTCTCTCTCTCTCTCTCTCTCTCTCTCTCTCTCTCTCTCTCTCTCTCTCTCTCTCTTTCTTTCTTTCTCTCTACTTTTCTTTCTTGGTTGTCCTTGAAGTGTAATCCATCACGTGACTATATGTTCAACTTATGGTGTTTTACGTCAACCATGACGGCTACAATGGCCAACCAGACCACAACGAAGTTGGGGCCAAAAAGAAAGTTTATTTCTTTCACGTGAAAATATATACAGGGGCCATTTTTACGAAAAATGATTTATGTATACAAAAATGCATGTACGAAGTCACTACATTACACCCCCACCAGAGATGAAGCCGAGAGCAGTTGCTGAAGAACGCCAAACGGAAAAAAAGATCTTGGAAAGGAAAGGAAAGAGTGAGCGAAGAGTATAAAGCGGAAAGACGGGAAAGAAAAATACACTGTACAAAGAGAAAGACTGTACAAAGAGAAAAAATATGCGCTGCATGTGGAATACCGTTGTATGACACGTGGACACAAGGTCCGAAACAAGGTAGAAAATGCAGGAAAGGGAAAGAGGAAACATGCGTGACAGAGGTGGAAGAACGTGTCAGAGGCAGTCCAGAGAAAGAAAATAGAGAAAAGAACAAGGAAAAACGTACGCGTGACAGAGGAGGACGGATCTTGATCTTGTCAGAGGCGGCTGCGGGCTAGGAGATCTTGGCGGTTGATCGGCGGATCGGTGGATCGGCGGACCGGCGGATGGTGGGCTGGTGAGGTCGTGGGCTTGGGCGCCTGCTCAATCTGGGCCGCGGAGGTCGAAGGCGCGATGGCCTGCTCCATGCCATCCATACAGCAACTCCGACTCAGCGCAGTGTCAGGGGTCACCAATTATGGTGTTTTACGTCAACCATGACGGCTACAATGGCCAACCAGACCACAACGAAGTTGGGGCCAAAGAGAAAGTTTATTTCTTTCACGTGAAAATATATACAGGGGCCATTTTTACGAAAAATGATTTATGTATACAAAAATGCATGTACGAAGTACGAAGTCACTACAAACTGACCTGGTCAAAGCTGGTTGTCTTAGGGGCCGTCCGTAAATATCGATGTTTTTTTAGAGACGATATTTGTTCATATCTCCCCAGACCCTCCCCCCTCTAATACGAACATGCGTACATTTATGCAGTGGACCGATATTTTTTATATTGAACGGTTTGTGTGTACAGGTACATGTACCGTATTTTTCCGGTTGTAAGTCGACCTTTTACGACTTAAATTTTTTTTAGTTAAAATAGAAGCAGAAAGGGTGGGGGTCGACTTACAACCGGGATTCGACTTATAACCGGGAACTATACAAAAAATGACCTGCACTGCATTCACGGATGCACCATATTTACACATTTTTGCCAGTTTATTGGCCTTTTTCAAGGATTGGGACGTTATATCCTCCAATAAGGAATGTTGACATGATTTGTTGATGTGTTAGTACCAGGAGGTGGTTAGTAGTGCTTCTTTGGGTGAAAACTTTAAAACACAGAATTGAGACCTCCAGATAGGGGGGTCGACTTATAACCGGGGTCGACTTACAACCGGTAAAATACGGTAGGTACATAATATGTGCTGCAGGACTGTAGTAGGAGTACAAGTCACAAGGTTCAAGTGCCTGCATGCTGCATGGTGCACGAGCCGCGACAAGCAAGTACAAGGTGCATACCTAAAAATAGCGTATGTGAAGATCGATATTTTTTCCGCCAAAAGCAACGAACAGCGTCAACCCCCCCCCCCCCCCCATACGAACGAATATCGTCTCTAAAAAAACATCGATATTTACGGACGGCCCCTTACTCATGTCCTTTTTCTAATTGTTTTCATTCCTCAGGTTCCACTTCTAGACACCCTGATGGAAGTTCTACACTCACTCTGCAACATGCTGATCGTCGCACCGGAAAACTTGCGTCAAATCATGTCTGAAGAAGCAAATCTGGTGAGCACCGAAATGCAATTGCTTGTACCTCCATTGCATACTGTACAAAATTGCACAAAAGCAACTACTGTAAAAGCAGAAATTTTTGGTGGTGTAATATTTTCGGTATTCTCCAAAATCAGCAGTTCGGTAGAGGGAAATTTTCGGTAAAACCCGTTTTCCAGGTAGGTGTACTAGTACTACATGTATACAGTATCGGTTGTACCGACGTTTTCGGTGCGTTTTATTATCGGTAAACATTGTCGGCACCGAAGTTACCGAAAATAAAACACCACCGAAAATTTCTGCTTTTACAGTAAGAGCAGGAATGCAGAAGTAACCTGTACGGAGCTGATATTGAGATTCCCATACATTGTGTGACTGGTAGGAGATAGTTTAGTGCCTCATTCCATGTGTTGTGTTTCTTGTGCTCGTGTCTGCCATGCGTTTACAGGCTAGTATCGATCGTCAAGTCGTGCTGAACTTCATTCAGCTCAGGGTTGATAACAAGTCTGGTAAATTGGCCAAGATACTCAACTTTTAGCTTGCTAGTCCAGCCTTGAGATGGCCGGTCATGGGGCAATGTGTGCCTGCTCGCCATCTTCTGTACATACTTCATGTTGTTAGTGCTGCTCTTTCTCATTCTCCGTCTGTCTGCCTGCACAATGTACATAGAAACGGACCGTGTTTTCATAGGACTTAGTCACTTAACCCAGCAGTTGATTTACTCCTTCCGTGTACATATTATGTTTACGTGTCTGTGTAACTGTTGCTGCACCTCTCCTATCCCATGTCCTTGTCCAAGTCTGGCATCGCATGTCCTTGTCCAAGTCTGGCATCCCATGTCCTTGTCCAAGTCTGGCATCGCATGTCTGCGTGTCCATCATTCCTTGTGTCGTGTAATACGCTGTTTTCCCCTCTTTGTCTGTGGGTGTCCGGTGTACTTTGAACTTCTGGAGAAGTGCTGGAGCTGGCATCTTCTGACTAGGAGAACATGCCAGCATCTGTAATTAACGGCACGCGCAATTTGCTAATATCAGCCTTGTCCGTGCCTGCAATGGCCACTTTTCTCTGCTCTTCTTGCACCGCCGCCTTATACTCCATTACAGTTGTAGTATCCTGGTTTGAATATTGCCACCTGGAGGCCCGGTCGCTAAGTCTGTGGATGAGTCATGGCAAACACCCCCTGCTGCTTCGCTTCGCTGCTGTGCTCCTTGTTCTTCGTCGTATCAAATGTTTTATTATTCTCTTCAACCTATAATTATTATTATGACACAGGATACTCACTGTTTTCAGCTGGCCACGGGCACGCTAGAACACACCGCTGCTATATTATTCTGTATAGTTTCTCAACCGTTTTCTGTTCATGATTTCGACCGTTCCTTCAACACTAACTTCTTGATATTGAAGTACAAAGTCGCAACCAAGTGTTGCACAGTCCAACCAACCCACTCACTTGCTGTTGTCGTTATTATTAGCTATCTATACTTACTCTTTATTCCACCTTGGCTCTGTGCCAAGAAAGGATGATTGTCTTTTGTGAAAATGTTCAGTCTCGATTCACTGGCTGCATGGAGAACAAAATAATAACCTACAGTGCTGCTCAATGAAATCCAGTCGAGTCATTCAAGCACACGTAGATCTACGGCGTCAAGAGTTCATGCATGTACGTATGGGTTATAATATTAATGCACTCTCTAGCTCTTGGCATAATGAATGTATCTCAGGTGATCATTTTTAATTACACATGTTCAGGTCTCAGGATGCACTAGTAGCACCACTACACTTATACTAGTCCAAGCATACAGTATTGCCACCAGCTGTGTCGACTCGGGCAGAGGCGTGTCTCTGCCAATACTTTGCATGCCATTAGGCTATTTGCTCTTAGTCTTTACCGTTAACGTTGTTTACTCATCATGGACATGGAAATGGTTTCTGGAGTCGGATGATCAGCAATATTAAATTTTTATCCTGCAATCCGCGATATTCATGTTAAAACAAAATGGCGTCACGATTTATTGAAAGTGGTATACAGTCAACTTCGCGAATAACGACTGCGGATATAACGACAATTCGCGAATAACGACCAAATTTCCATGCCCAGAGAAAGGACCCATCTAACTGTTTACATTTAACTTCGGATATAACGACTATCTGAATAACGACAATTCGCGTATAGCGACATGCTTTTAGTGCCCCCAGGTCATATTCACTGCTTGAATAACGACTTTCTGGGCTTTTGACAGCTATTTCAAGTACCTGTCATGCAGAAGTACCAGAACCTATGGTGATGGATATAAAGGCACACATGCAAGAAAATACAGCCAATGGGGGGGGGGGGGGGGGGCTTTTTCTTCCTTTTTTATGTTGGCTTCAAAATTGTTGGATTTACCAGCACACCTACATGACATGTATATGTATACAATGTACAGTGCGTATCGGTTATAGCGTGGTCGTGTAAAAGAATATACCGGTACTGCCTACAAGAATGAACGCTCATGTTTTCATAATCATAACATGGATTTCAAGTGCACATTAATTTTATTCTTACAAGCAATTTTATCCCATAGTAGAATATACCGGTCCTAAGAATGGACTTTGTGTCCCGAAACATGCCAGATTAGTACAAAGTGTATCGCCTGTAGTAATTACATCTGTCCATTTCCGTTCTGATCTGACTCTCGTTGCGTCGTAGTGCTGCAGATTCCAATGTTGTGGTCATGTAACCCATGTAATTGTTGCATAGCCACATGGTAAGCCTATGGGACTATGACCAGCCACATGCACAGAAGTACTGCGTTGCATGTACGATGATCTTCCTGCCCATGCGCATATGCATTATGATATGCCACACTTGATTTATCGTGTGTAAGAAATATCGGAAATAAGAATAGAAAGTCGTTTTTCAAACACCCACGCTATAACCGATACCTACTGTACATGTAGTTGTACATGATTGTACAGTAATCATCATACATGTAAATGTCTTTGGCCCTGTAGATGGCTCAAAAAGGCATATTTTTCAATTGATTTCCCTTGCATATTGAATTTTTAGTTCCTTTCACTGCAATATGAAAATAAAGTACACATTGACATAGAGCAAGAAAAGAGCTTCATTTTGATAATTATGCATGTCATACTATACAAAATATGGGTTCACATACATTCAAATGGGACTTCGGTTATAAGGACACTTCGCGAATAAGGACACTTTTCTGATGCCCCGCCGAATGTCGTTATTGGCGAAGTTGACTGTAGTTGGTGAAACGAGTGTTCAAACCCATTTGAACTTCATACTGTTCGTCTTCTTTTTGACATGCTCCCTTTCCATCGTCCTTAGCTTTTATTTGTTGAGAGCTGTTTTGGCTTTCTCCTATACCTCTGGGGGATGCCAAGTGATGGTTTTGAGAGGCTGGTGATGGCTGTGAGCGAGAGTTTGCCGATCGGCGTTGTCCTCGCTATAGCGATGAAAATACTAGTTACTGCGCACCTGGCACATATCACAACACGTCGGAGCGTCCAGGAGCAAAGGAATCTTGGGTTTTCACTGGAATCTAGTTCCTCCAGCATCGTGTAGCCCACCGTCGGTGAATGGCGGTCCAGAAAGGTCGAACCTGGTCTTCTGCAGCATCTCGCAGTCCTCCGAGGCACACTGAATACGCCTGTCATGTATTCTACAAATAAAAATCACGAAGTAGTGGACTTTACAGTGATGAGTCTATCCTGTATGCTGCAAAAGACGCAGGAAATGTGACTGGTGTCTGTACACTCAGTGACTGGACGCCAACACCCCAGTCTTCTCCTGCAGGATCTGTTTGACATTGACATTATGCAGTAGGTCGGCATTGACCTGGTTTGGCAGCTATCGTTATCGTATCTGCCTGGTTGGATGTAGCAGGTTGGTGTTTGCTCGTCGTCCAGTCCGGAATTTTCTTGTAACTCACGGTGGAGTACGCGCAGGGTTTGTGATCATCCCTGTTCACTTCAATATTATCAAACACAACGTTCCCTTTGTCACTCATCTTATCCTGAGTACTGAATTTGCTGACAATATTGCACCATACTTGTCACAACCTACCGCCACTGCTGGCGGTGGCGACTGGTTCGTCAATGGCGGTGACCAGGCTGACTGACTAGCTTCGAGACAGCGGCCTCGTTGTCAATTCCGCGGCAGCCTAAAGGTTGATTTTATTCATCCAGCCTCAGCGCCATGTTGACGATGCCCTAGTGACTGTGTGTCATGGATTGCCTTGCCATCAGCGGTCATTGCCGTCCACCTTGATGCAGCCCTCAACAACTGGCTCAGCCCATGGGAGTCTCAAGTGGACAAAATTGTTGCCAAAGTAGCTCAGAAGATTGGTGCATCGTGGTGTAGGTGAGCACATAACTAGGACTTCCCAGCGTCTATTTGTCCAGGCTGCGATACTATGTGACATGCTGTACTGCACATTCTTTTCAGCACTGCAAGGCCGGCAGCTGGACCGACTGCAGGGGCCGCGCACATGCAGGCCGCCTGTTGCCAGTGCAGCATTCTGGAACGTTCCTTCCTTCTGAGATCCGTGGAATAAAAACTTTCTTTGCTTCAAAGCAAGTTGCTTACCTTTCTGTTGTGCTCCCAGTGTCCTTACAACAATAACCTACAGCAATGTTTTATTTTCCTTTCCATTCCCCAACCAATGAATACTACGATGTCGATTCTATTTCTTCATACTTTGGTGTGTGCCCGCGCACGCACGTGTGTGTGTATACCTCACTCGCCACTCGAAGTTCTGTTCCTCATCACTGGAACACTGCCTGTTCTTTCAGGACCTGCCATCATCTGCGGATGGGCATTCAATAATTGTATTGTGTGTGTGTTTCATTCAGAATCAGATCCGCTATCATTGCTATTAGAGAAAATCTGTGGGTTCACATCCAGTGCATTTTTAGATCTGCGTGCTTTTCTCGCCACGGGCGCATACATGGGACATTGTGTGTGTGTGCGTCTGTGTGTATGGGGATATTGTCTGTATCGGCTTTTGGTACTAATGTTCAGGTCTGTGCTTGCATGTGTGAACATGAAATTGTTCGGTTCTGTGCATGCTATTGCTATGTTGTATATTATTGTATGTATGTGTGCATTTCCACGAACAGTGTAGACGAGCGTGGAGAGTGCATTCATCCCTCATCAACCACTTCCCCTTGGGCTTACGAGAGTTTTTTCTGCGTACCTCTCTGATACTGTATTGATGCCGGCACCTGTACCTCGATGTGTTCCTCTATCTGCAGTCGCCTTTAACCTTCGGTCAAGTTAACGTTTATTGTGCTCTATTTATCGTGCGAATCAAAATAAACAATAATAACACAAGTCGTGCTAGAGTGACGACATGTGCGTGTAGGAGGGTTGATGCGATGGGACGTTATAATTAGGTGGAACAGAACACACATTGGGCAGATTGATTGGGCATCATTGATTGTGCTCAGTCTAAACAGTGAACATAATAATTATCTCCAGTGACAGACTGTAGCGGCTAGCCTCCAATAGGTAGCTGGCACTAGTCGCTAGTGCTTGTTTGACAGGTGCCGCCAGAACCCCTGTTGTGTCATGCTATAGATGCACATGCCCTGTTCTGGGGCATACTGAGGTACTTTGATTTTGTTGACTGCATGTAGACAGCATCCAATAGTAGTACTCGTAGACCTTGGCTCTTTGTAGGTCAACCACCATGGCATGGATCGATCGGTGACTATGCACTTGGAGGTTGGAATAGCCCGCGCTGAACAGATCTTGCCATGGCCCAGGGAGTGAACTCGCTTACTCGACTATCCCGGTTTTAGTTAACCAGCAGGAGTGGTGCAATTTGTCCATACCATGTTGCGAGCTCACAGTTGTTTGGGCAGGTTTTGAGCTACACCACGAAACAAAGCGAAATAACGGCGTGACTGTAGAGCAAGGAAGCGGCGAGACGGCACTTCCAGGACGAGACAGGCAGTAGAGATGTGTTCACAGCACGAGCAACCTCTCAGACCCTGCCGGTACTCCACAGTTACAAGAAAATGTCGGACTGGACGACGCGCCAATGCAAACCTGCTACATCCACCCAGGCAGATAGCTGCCAAACCAGGCCAATGTCGACCCACTGCATACCGGTATGTCAATGTCAAACAGATCCTGCAGGAGAAGACTGGGATGATATTGGCGTCCAGTGTACGGACACCAGTCACATTTCCTGCGTCTTTTGCAGCATACAGGATAGACTCATCACTGTAAAGTCCACTACTTCAAGATTTTTATTTGTAGAATACATGACAGTGTGCCTCGCAGAACTGCGAGATGCTGCAGAAGACCAGTTTCGACCTTTCTGGACCGCCATTCACCGACGGTGGGCTACACGATGCTGGAGGAACTAGATTCCAGTGAAAACCCAAGATTCCTTTGCTCCTGGACGCTCCGACGTGTTGTGATATGTGCCAGGTGCGCAGTAACTAGTATTTTCATCGCTATAGCGAGGACGACGCCGATCGCCAAACTCTCGCTCACAGCCATCACCAGCCTCTCAAAACCATCACTTGGCATCCCCCAGAGGTATAGGAGAAAGCCAAAACAGCTCTCAACAAACAAAAGCTAAGGACGATGGAAAGAGAGCATGTCAAAAAGAAGACGAACAGTATGAAGTTCAAATGGGTTTGAACCAGGGAGTCGTCAAATACCGGGAGTGGAAACGCCGTTAATCTTGATTATCCATGCTCGCCTCGCGCAAAATTTTTGCAGTGCCTTGAGTACCTCAGCGTCGTCAAATGCAATTTAGAGTAGCCTTGAGTATTTTTTGGGAGAAAGCGTCCATCAGAACGTGTATACAGAGATATTTGTAGTGGTCTGCTCGTTTACTAGTAGGAGGACACCTAATTTATCGGTAGGCGTTATCGCAGTGTTGCGATGTATGACTGGAGGCCCGATTCACGCGCGGATAGTAACGTGACTTTTGATGTAATTTATCGAGGAAAATAGCTCAGCCTCAGTAATCAAAGCCACTTGGTTCGACCCACGAAAAAACTTCTCGTAACCATTGTCCTTTCCATATAGGTGCTACCTGTGAATTTTCTCGGTGTAAGATGATATGCCACTGACTTTTTGAGGGACCCTTTGTTTCTAAAACATTATTGTTTTTTAATGACGACCACATTATTATAAAGTCAAGGAATTTCTCTTATTTTCTTCTTCAGTGTAAGAGAACATCACCGCTTTCAGTATGTCTCATGTCAAGAGGAAGCATGACAACGTATATGCACCACCAACACTGAGAATCCAATTACAGATTTGGCCGATTGTGGCGAGTATCACAGAATTGACAATGCACACCGAATTAAACTGTTCTAAATCCCTCTCTCTTTCTGTCTCGCTTCTCTTTGCCAACTTTGGGTGTCAGCAGTTACGCATGCGTACATGCACGCACCAATATACGGGTGCGCACGCACTCATTGGCATGCACAAACTGCATATGCACACACACGGCATGCACGAACTGCGCATGCACGCACATTCACACACATACACACACACTGGAATGCATGCATGCACACACACACACACACACACCTGGTCCTGGTAAACACTGCCATTACGGTCACCTGTCCCCTTGCGGGACCGACAACATGGAAGCGACGGCAGAAAGTCGGTAGTCTGCCAAGAGATTAGGGACCATATTCAATCGGCACGACGAGAGAGCCATCTTTGGCAGCACACACACACACACACATACTGACATGCCCACACTGTGCATGCACACACACGGTGGATGCTCATGTGTCTTAGATTCAATTATCTTTTCAAAGTTTGGTAGATTCGGAGACATGTTGGCCAGAATTTCATGGCCGAAAGTCGCCAACACCGGCTTGAGGCTAGTTAACTCAGGCTTTCTGCTAGCTTCCAGTTCTCTTCTCACCGCAACAACACACCAACCACCATGGTATATTTTAGGTGTCTCTGCAGTGCAGTTGACTATGGCGGTGGGCTGGGGTGCTCCTGCGGATGATGCTGGCATGATGGACGGCTTTCTTGCCACTACTGTACCGCAAATTAAACTTGAAAACACAGCTGATGTGGTCTCCAGGTCTGGACAAAACGCACACGGAAAACAGAGCAGTATTTCTATATTAAAATTGTCACAAGTATTCATCCAGGTAGAGAATGCCATGTGTATCCTGATTCCTGACCATCACATAGTTTCTTAAATCTACCATTGAATTTCATTTTACGAGTTTCACATAAAATTTTATGCACGATCATTGGGCAAGTAAAAGAGAAGCTTCCCTAGGTCTGTACTTGACTGCAGGTTGATAAATCGAATGCTCTGTACATGCAGCATGCATGTGTAACAAACCAAAACAAAGCTATTCAGTGATAGAAGTATTCACTCGATAAAGCTTGGTTTTTACTCACCTCTCGCCCAAGTTCCTAAAACATCAGCCGTAAAATGGCTACCGATATCTCCCTGTCCAGCATGACCATGCACTGCCGACGAATCCACGACGAAGAGTGATAATACTACAAAAGGGAAGCGGAAATCTGACGAGAAGGCTTATGTATGGTCGAGACGTCTAAACTGCTCCGCTTGCAGGAAGAACCAAAATAAATTTTGACATTTTGAAAATCCCGCGGAATTGGTGAATGTGGCACAAAAAAGATTATTTGAAAAAATCGGCGTGCTCCAGCGCGAGGCGAGCATGGATCACGCTCGCGCATCTCGTTTCCACTCCCGGTATTTGACGACTCCCTGGTTTGAACACTCGTTTCACCAACTATGCCACTTTCAATAAATCGTGACGCCATTTTGTTTTAACACGCATACGGTCCATTAAAAAATGCAAAGTCTGCAAAAAGACAAGAAGATGGGATATCCCCCGGATGGACTCATTGAATGACTCATGGCAAGTCAGTTCACAGTTCAGATCAGAGTACACAGTACACACCCTCATGTACATATGTAGACTCTACTCTTGATGTCAGAGCATGCATGATTCTCGCGTTATGACTCAGTCACTCCACGTGCTCCATGTGTATGAGTTCGCTACATGTCTACAACTACATTTTCGTATGTTACCCGCCGTGTTGACCAGTGCAGTGCAGCTCGACAGTCCGCAACAGCAAAGCACTTCGTCTTTTACAGACATGTCTTCCCAGGCCCAGGCATGCAGTGTATGTTCACTTCCAGCACATAAAATCGTTGTTGCCTGTGTCAGCAAGTTTCTGATGTGCCAAAATTATCTCTGTGGACTTGGAAATGTACAAACATGTAGCAAAAGAGATCATGTCACCACCCTTATTTTGAAAAATCAAACTTGGTAGTTTCTTTTTCTCTCCTTGCTGGCTACCAGCAGCTGTTTGCCAGTTATTAATGAGCAACAATCCATTAGTAAACAAGCTTCAGTCAGGTTGATCTCGATCATGGGGCTGTTCAGCCAGTTCCAAGTCTGTCTGGACTTAGGCACCAGTGTAAAGTGGAAGGAGAAACAGTCGATTCGAAGTTGTGTGACTGACAATGGTGGAATCATCTCCTTCATAATCACCAAGAAGGTGAGAGAAATGTCCAGAGAGTTGCTGCTGTTATACATGTTTCTGTGTATCGCCATTCTTATGATTGAAGCAGTATTTGCACACACCAAAAAGAAACAACAATATCTATATTTGACTCTTGAATCACAAGTATAAACGTGGTTGTGCACGTGATGTAGTTGCGGACTTCATGTTGAGTGTTTCAGTACTACTATCCTCCTCTCAGGAGAACCTCACATACAAATTTTCATCTTCTGGATTGACCCACTTTGCTTTACTTGCAAAAGGAGGCCGACGGTGCAATGAACACAATGACCTGGACAGAAACCTTTCCCAAAAATTGGGGAAACCCTATATGCAGTATAGGATTTGACAGACAGAGGAATACATAGGGGAGTCTTCCACGTAAGTCATTGGTGCGACTATAAAAAGTGCGGGGGGGGGGGGGGGGGGGTGTCCGGAAGCCCGCCCCTGTGAAATTTTTAGGAAAACTGGGCCTAATTAATAGCCCATGCTTCATTTTCTTTCAAATCACAAGATAAAATTATTATTTGTGCAGCTTTGGCCACACCTGCCACACCGGTTCCGACGCCGCTGATACATGATGTAGTAGAGCTTTGGCCAGACCTATTATCTGCTGCTAAGTATGTGGCCTGACATGACTGTACTTTTGACTCTGTGTGTGTGTGTGTGTGTGTGTGTATGTGCATGTGTGCATGTGTGCATGTGTGCATGTGTGTGTGTGTGTGTGTGTGTGTGTGTGTGTGTGTGTGTGTGTGTGTGTGTGTGTGTGTGTGTGTGGTGTGTGTGTGTGTGTGTGTGTGTGTGTGTGTGTTGTGTGTGTATGGTGTGTGTATATGTGTGTGTGTGTGTGTGTGTGTGTGTTTGTGTGCGTGTGCATACGTGTGTGTGTGGCTTCTCTGGTTAGACAACACACTTGGTCATTTCCGATGCCAGCAAAGCGGAGAGCTACAAGTCGCGCCAGGCCACCAAGTACAAGATTCCTGTCGTCCATGTGGACTTCCTGAGGGCATGCGAGAGCGCTGGCAAGATAGTGGACGCTAATGACTACCTGCTTGCGGGCACTACGCCAAAGAAAGAGTTTGAATCGGGGAAAATTGCCGGTGAGCTTGTATGGGCGTGGAGGCATTCTGGCGCCTCTCTTGAAATATTATTTTGATGATTGTCCCTACTACGTCTGCTGGTGTCCGTGCTAGGCCTAGTCTCTGTCTCTACACTACTTTGTACATGTAGCTTTATGACCATGATGCCTCTTTCTAGTTCCGAAAAAGGCCACTGGACCCCAACATGTACTTACATTTGGATGTGATGTGCACTAGCATCATCCTGCACTACCATCATGCTGCACTACCATCATGATGTGCACTACCATCATGCTGGTGAGCCGGAACTACACTGTGCTTCGATCCGTTTCTGCAGTGGATTTGCAGCCAACCAAAAACACACACAGTATGACTAGTCATGGGCGACAACGGGAAACTCTTTACACATCCGCGTGGATACTGTTGCTGCTGTCTACATCAGCGGGACTGCCGTTAGCAGCACTATTTTTTGCATGGCGGTGAGGGTCCGAGTCACTGCATTACATGTGCACAGTGTTGCAATATAGCACGGGCCCAGCCAGACGTGCCACACTCTGTACACACTGTAGCACCGTAGCATCACAGTACATGCGTAATGGTCTTCAGTGCTTCAGCAAATCAATCAGTACCATGCACCGTGTTGATGTGCTGTCTGTTTTTCACCTGCATCACTAGTGCCAAGATCTGCGGAGAAGCCGAAAGCCGGTCCGTCTGTGAACCTGAACAGTGTCAAGTAAGTCCTCTCACAATGTATACAGTACAGTAGGAAACCTTCGTATGGTAATAATGTCTTACCATGTTGAGCTCTGCATCCACAGGTGTACATGTACTCAATGTTTCTTCCATGCCGAAATCGCATACAGCCTCCATCACAAATCACACCGCTCACAATACACAGATCCCCCCCCCCCCCCGTCCGTGTTAATCCGGTGCACGTAATATATCCGTACGATATTGACCTGCTGGACTGCATTGCCGTTTCTTTACTTATTCCCCTCTTGGTCGGTACCTGTTGATGCGGTGTTGAGCCAAGGACTCTTTCCACGTGCTTGCTTTGTCTGCAGAGCATGGCGTCTGAATGATTCGTCCGCGCCAGCATTCAATGAGCAGGCGTATGCCGTTGCCCGTCACACAACGTTCAAGGTGGGTAGGCGGTGGCTTAGATCAGGATCAAGGCTTGAATCTATGGAAATGTCATTACGCCTACGGTCCTAGCTTGGCCTGAGCCTAAAGCATGGGGCTATGCTGAAAAACGTGCTTCGATCTCAGCCTATATTCTCTCCCTTGGGTGCATTCTCAGTTTTGTTTTGCCTTTACTCATTGTCATTGGTTTTCTACCTGCTTGTTGTGCGATACCTGTAGAGAACCGACAACCGTAGCCAAGTGACCACTTTTGCAGTTGTGGAGATGCATGTGCAGCCGGACTGTGATGCAGTCAACGAGCAGAGTGCCTTGCAGCGAGTGACCTGCAGCCGCGGCAAGATCAGCAAAGACCAGCAGGTAGTACTGACACCCCGTACGTGAGAGTGTGTGTGTGTGTGTGTGCGAGCGAGCGTGTGTGTGTGTGTGTGTGTGTGTGTGTGTGCACGCACGTGTGTGTTTGTGTGTGTGTGTGTGTGCGAGCGTGTGTGTATGTGTGAGAGCGCGTGTGCGTGCGTGTGTGTGTGTGTGTGTGCGTGCGTGCATGCGTGCTTGTGTGTGTGTGTGTGTGTGTGTGTGTGTGTGTGTGTGTGTGTGTGTGTGTGCGTGCGTGTGTGCGTGTGTGCTTGTGTGCTTGTGTGTGTGTGTGTGTGTGTGTGTGCGCGTGTGCGCGAGCGTGTGCGTGTGTTTGTGTGTGTGTGTGTGTTTGTGTGTGTGTGTTTCAACTTTAAGGGTGACATTTTTTCCCCTTGTGTGCGTTGTTACATTCAAAAAACGTTTGTTCACAACTTCACATACTTCTCTACCCATCCTTCTTTCATTGTCTCATAAAAGATCACATTGGCCGCATGTCGACTTTTTTATGATTCCTTTATACTGACTAGAAAGCATCTGTTACACTCTCTGCCCCACAAACTCTTGGCCGTAAGATGGTATGAGGTACTTGTACATGTACTGTTCAATGTGCTGCATGTCACAGCAGTTTTTCGTTTGCAAGCAAATCAACAGTACGTTTGTTTTCCTATTGTACTTTTCTGCTCAGATCATTGAGAGTGTGGAGGAGGTGCGCTACCCTGCAACGCTGCGCGACTGCCTGGCCGTGTATGGGTTGTGGTGCAAGCAGGTCTCCGTCGGTCTTACCAAAGTTCCCTTTCTCAACTGCAAGGTTGGCTCGAAGAAGCTGCGGCAGGTATGCATTCTCTGCACAGTCGAATATGCTTGGCACCACACCACACTCCCTTGTCATATGTTCCATCTGCAGGTATATGTTGCAGTATCGTCAAGCTCACTGCCTGGAGCAAGTGCTATTAACAGTAGTGTGTTGAAACTGTGTTAGTAGTTAGTGTACGTGACAGGGCATGCTATAGCCATTCGTTGGTGTACACCGCGCTCTAGTGTGAGAAACATTGTGCCTGAGTTTTGTTGTCGTGTGTGTGTGTGTGTTTGTGTGTTTGTGCTTCAAGATGAATGCCGAGCGCCAGTTTGCACGTGTGTCGGAGGAGGGCCTCTCTCAGTCAGTCGCAGATCTGATGTCCTACGTGTGGGGTGATGCGTCGGGAGAACTTGACAAGGTCCTCTCCAAGCCCGTGTCATCAGTGAAGATAGACTCGGTTTCCACGGCCGAGTCATGTCTGCTCAAGATCCGTGACACGCTGCAGGGAAAAGCCCATGATGACATCAGAGAACAGTGGACGCAATTCTACGCTGCTCTTCCACACCATGCTGAGCATGCCGTTCCGATCGACTCCCTGAATGTGCTGAGTCGAAAGCAGGATCTCTGTCAGGTGAGTGAACGCATAGGGTTTCGGTACCTTGAGTTTTGCTTATGCACGTATCAGTAAAGTTCTGTTTTGCCTTGACATGGACTCCTGTGCCTGCCACGGGAATGGTGTGTTTCGTACATTGACACTCTTCACAATAAAGCGCACAGTGCAGCATGGCCCTGTGTGTTCTCTTGTATGACGTCATCACATTGCTTGGCTGTGCTCTCCTCGCAGCTCGTGCGGGACATGATCTCGGTGAACGAGGTCACCAACTGGTCGTCTCGCTCGTCAGCCCAGTCCAAGCTGCACGCACTGCGCTGTCATGTTAGCAGTCTTGACAAGGGCAGTGACGAGTTTACCAAAATTGACGACCTGGTAACTTCTACTGATATCAGGTGAGATGGGGCTCCTTTTTTCACTTATTTCTTCACCTTCACCAGTAGAAAAGAAGCTGAGGGCGAGGTAGTAACTCGCACACTCCACCGTAGCCATTACTCAGTCTCAATACACACACGCAATGGTCTCTGCGCTGCATGAAACTCCTTCTCTTCACTAACAATTTCGCCCTGGCCCATCATCTCGTTTGGCCAAACAAACGAGAAATTGCAATTTCAAATTTGGCCTTCACGGAGAATTTTCAAAGTGTTAGGAAATTTGAGGCCACATGCCACGCACTGCTCTTATCTGACATATCTGGCTTGCAAGTGTTGAGTTTCGGAGAGAAAAGAGCAGTGCGTGGCATGTGACCTCAAATTTCCTAACACTTTGAAAATTCTCTGTGAAGTCCAAATTTGAAATTGCAATTTGTATTTGCTCGCAGTGGACATAGTTTGATGCGCTCCCATGATATCAAGCGAATGGCCGAGGGCCCTCTAGATTGGTGTGAGTTGCCAGTATGATGGAGTGCGGAGCTGTGTTTGTGCGTGTGTGGATGTCAATGTGAAGATGTGGATCTGGAACCATAAGTGTGACGACAACGGCGAAGACGCACTCTGGTGAAGTACTAGTGTATACAACAAGCTAACGCACACATGCCGGTATATAACACGTATTGTGCCACCAAGTATGACATGTGTAACATCTCAGTCAGACTCTTCATCCTCTATATAACCACACCAACACGCTTCACACTGTGTTCAGCAATCTCCAGCCACAGTCCCTGTTTACTGTAGGACACCTAGCATGAATGAACGTTGCTTCACACATGCTGTGATTGACAAGGAACACGTGTGTGGTGAGAAACTGTGCATCAGTGCTGGGTGTAGAGGTGCTAGCTTGATGTGGACGTTGTTGTGTATAGTGCGCTCCCCATGGTGTTTCTGGTGCTTGAATTTGTGCCTCTCTGCAATTGTCCTCAACGCACTCCTGAAGTGACGGTTCTCTCTATCTCACCATCATACTCCTTAGCCCAAAGGGAACATAACATAACATACACATCATTATGTATTTCACACTGATATACACACACAAACACAGCTCCACACTTCTCCGACCCTCGCCTTGCACCAGCTTTCTTACTCTTCGTACCTAAGTTACACCCTAGCTGAGACATTTCTCACTGCCATTCACTGCTCCTTTTACTCTTCAAGGTTTATCTATTACATTTCTTGTTTGTTTGCCTTCAGTTTGATTGTAGACCAGAGATGATGGGCCAGGCCCAAAAATGTATTGAAGAGAAGGAGTTTGTGCAGTAGAGAGACCACTGAGAGACCACTGAGAGACCACAGAGTGTATGTTGAGACTGAGTAACGTGAGGTTAATAACTATGCAGGGAATGAGAATAGATAGAAGAGAGATGAAGGAGAATTTGAGTAGACGAAAGAGTGTACTAGTACCCAGCGCAACACCAATGCTACGGTCATCAGGTTTTCTATGGTGAGTCGGTTTGGCTGCTGAGCCGTTAGCACTTCGCCACGGACAGTAGTGACCAGGGTATAGTAAAATACCAGATATAGTTATTATTTTACTACTCCCCGGTAGTGACAATCCTATGCCAGCAGCACCGTAAGTGTTTCGTTCCAATGATCCAGCATATCCGCCGTTGTTCAGAACTTAAAATGGTAAAACAATTACGTCATGCGGTATGTCCGTGTGTCTACATTTACTAGATCAGTGCGTTTGCAACTAGCTGCTGAATCATAGGGTCACACGTTTCTGTCTGGCGTAGTGCCTATCATCTCTGAAAGCGAGACTAGCCGCTTGGTCACTGCGTCAGGGCCCACTTACACACTGGCAGATCCGCTTCATTTCACCTCTGCCATCGAAAATGTCACATAGTGAGGAGTATGTTCTCACCGGTCACACTGTGAGGGGAGTACGGCGTGTAGTATTGGACAACAGTTACAGACTCACAGAGAAGATTGGTACAGCATGCGACATGGCTGTACAGCAATGCGGCAGCGGGTTTTTAACCCGGTTTTGTGATGTGTTAGCACTTGCCGCGACCTTCTCTAACCAGCACTACCGCAGCAAGGGTTTAGGAGTCAGATCTCTGTACAGCTGATGGCATTATGGCAGAGACAGGCAGCAAAGAAATGGCTGCTTTTAAAAACACACTGCATCCCCTGTCTGCTTTTACCCATGACTGCTGTCTGTGATTCTATCTTGGTCCCTGCATGTTGGTCTTTCTTATTGTTTTCTTGCTCATCTCCTCACAGGAAATGTGGCATTAAGGTGAGCGGCATCTTCAAAGTTCAGCGGCCGACAGAGGAGGCAAACTTCGCTGATCAGATTCCAGCCAGAAGACTGCTATTCCATGCATCTGATGTAAGAGTGAATCTATCTGTTCTGTGTCTGTCTGTCTGTCTGTCTGTCTGTCTGTCTGTCTGTCTGTCTGTCTGTCTGTCTGTCTGTCTGTCTGTCTGCCTGCCTGCCTGCCTGCCTGCCTGTCTGTCTGTCTGTCTGTCTGTCTTCCTGCCTGCCTGCCTGCCTGTCTGTCTGTCTGTCTGTCTGTCTGTCCGTCCGTCTGTCTGTCTTTTCGTCCGTCCGTCTGTCTTGGACAACATGTGTGCTGCTTAACACATGTGTGCTTCTGTGAGCTTGGTTTCTTGTTCCTTTGCAATGTCAAGCCAAGTCAGCCATTGAGGACGTCATCGTGTGTTGACTGTTGGGCTAATGTTATGCATGATCAGGGCCAGTATACTGCAACATTGTTTGAATTCATGGAGCTATTTTTACTATGTTCAGCCATGTAATAGTATGAATTATAAGTATTAACTAACTACTGTGCCTTTGTTGTGCCGGGAGATGTTTGTCTCCCATTGTTGTGTCGGGAGTTGTCCTTCCAGAAACTCGAATGACACGCATTCTTCCCCTTTCAGGTTCAGACGGGAGAACAGTGATGATAGAAGAATACGTATACGCTCGGTGCTATCTATGATGACATTAGGCAACTCTGGGATTTTTTCAGCCAACTCGAGAAACAATGAAATGAGAGACAGTTGAGTTGCCAGGAATGTAGGTCGATGATCTGGACCACTGTCAGTGTATAGAAGAAGAATTGGCTTGACATCTTCAGCCTTGACAAGGTGACAAAGTTCACAGGCATGGCGAGCTGCAGATGAGTGCTGGAAGGTGCAGTCCTTCAGTCCCACGTGAACCTTTCCTTCATAGAAGGAGCCCTCGATGTGCTCCGGGATGGCAATGAACATATTTACACTTGGCGTCAGGTTCAATTTTGTGAAATCATGATCAGAAACCACCAGTTTTTCATTCAGGCCAACGATCACTGCCTTAACACGGTCTACAGCAGCGACTGGATGGCCAGGTTCGCCAACCTTGATCGTATGCTTGTCATCCTGTGCAACAAATGTGGCATGGTCGCGAAATCGAATGACAAATTCCTTCTGGTACCTAAATAATGCAGATGCATAGTGGCAGTCAACGTGCGATTTCCTGAACTGCCGGGACTGCACCATGAATTTTACTTTCAGTTTGCCAGTGTACCGTTCGACCACAGCAGCAGCTGGGTTGCGTGGCCAGAATTGATACCGCAGCCATTGGACTGAAGGAATTGGTGTCCCTTCCGGACACTTTGGCGACTACTGCATGAAGATCCCGGACACTTAGGGCTTTGGCGAGGTGCGTAATTACTGTTTCGTCTGTCTCCACACCCATCATGGCGCCTATCATCCACAGCTGTCTCCACACTGGACTCGATGTACTCCTGGCATTTTTCCAAGAACCATAAGAACTGCTCTGGCCTACTATCATTCTGGGCCCTCATGTCCCACACAAGGTCAGGGTCCTCTGTTTCCAACAGTTCCGACACACGAGCATCCACCTCCTCTTGTGCTGTGGTTTCACTACCTGAAGCATCACCAGTAAGGGTCCGGTACAGTGCCCTCAAAATTGCTGGCTTGGTGCTGGTAGCAGTTCCAAAGTGCGCCACGAACTGACACCGCATGGTCCGGGTGTGATAGGTCGGAAGTTTCTGCTTCAATACTTGCTGGACTTCCAAGTTCTTCTGTACAAGCTCCGAGTCGCTGATGTCCACTGGGATTTTCCATACAAATGTGCTGTGCACTCTGCTACCGGTATACTCATACAGCATACATTTCATGGGTATCACCACTTGCTGGATGCACTCATATTTCTTCTTCCTGTCTTCCACGGGACAGTGGTCCTCCAGGTGTACTGGCTCCCACATGCTGCTGTTACTCAGCGCATCGTGAAGGCTTCGGTACCTTGCAGCCACTGTTGGTTTGGGTACTAGCACTGGAGTCAGGATCCGCAGTTCATCCACATCAGTCCTGACACAGGAACGCTTCAGGTCACTTTTTGTTGTTGCCTCCAGGTGCTCGCCCAAGTATTCACTGTACTTCCTCAAATTGTCAGCAAGGCGCAATAGCGCCTCCTTGACCTTTCTCCAGTTTTCCCGTTTCAGGTATGAGCTGCCACTCAGGAAAAACAGAGATGAGGACAGTGCAGCCAGCTCTGGTGCTTTGAGATTTGTGTGGTCGCGCTTCCTCTTCTTACACAGCTCAGGGCGATTGAATCCGACAAATTCAGAGAACATCGCCGGTACAGGACAGCTGCGTGCCGCCAACGTTTCGTGATTGCCGTCGATATACCACAGGCAGTCAGCCAGAGTCCCAACGAAATTGGTTCCGCAAGAATCCACGAACATCTGCTCCCACCCCAGTTGATTCTTCTCTAGAAACGCCAGCATTGCGTTCTTCAGCTCTGCTTTCTTGTTCGATGGCTCCCATTACTGGGGTTGGAGACATGACGAAGCGGCGGCGTTCATGACGAATCTGGGTGATCACGAACGGCATCCTTCTGAAGTTCCACTGTCCGAAACCAATAAAGGAACTAAAAGTTGTCAAGGAACTCTTTCAGACTTCACAAAGACAAATTACACTCGAAGAATGCCGGCGAAAGAGAGGGCAAACGGCGGCGGGCGTGCGTGCGACTTTTCTTCACAGTGCGGACCCTTTCAAGCGCATGAGTACGGGTTCATCGATCAACAACAGCTTCGGACGCGGTACGCGGTGGCTGCGCAGTTTCCATGAATGCAGGCGTAGATAATATCAGGTGGTACACTGTACAGACTACAGTGCCATGTATTATAGTTGCCAGATTTCACACAAGTACACTGGAATCACATTGCACTGCATGATAATGGTGATGTCGCTACGGTAAAAACACGTTGAAGCTGTACATGAGAGCTCGCGTACGCGTGTACTGCTAAAAAAAGTTTCCGTTTCGCTAAACACACGAGTTTTCTACCGTTGATCACGAAAATAAAGAATAAAATAAATCCAGGGACGGACTGAAAAATCGGGGCGGGCGCTGACGATCAACAATCAATTGTTTTTACTTGGCCTTTAGGCTCTCCACAAGTTGAACGTACTCGGTGTACAGTAACATTCTTTTGTGCTGTGGTATTCCGATGTCCAGCCATCAAACTTTGTGGGAATATTATCTCGGTAAGTGTGCCCGTGTTAGCCACCACTGTGCTTATCAGTCGGGTGTTCTGTGTGATGTGGGTGTTCTGCCAGGTGTTCTGTAGGGTGTTCTGTGCAGTGTTGGTCTTCTGTGCAGTGTGGGTATTCTACTGGGTGTTCTGTGGAGTGTGTGTGTGTGTGTGTGTGTGTGTGTGTGTGTGTGTGTGTGTGTGTGTGTGTGTTCCACTGGGTGTTCTGTGCGGTGTGGATGTTCTGTGGACTGCATGTGTTCCACTGGGTGTTCCACTGTGTGTTCTACTAGTACCTGTATGGATGGTGTATATGCAAGCCTTGCCTACTATAGGTAACATGTTTTCACGGCACTGTTTCCCATACAGTGTGTCGTCGCCTTGTTCACGCTGTCACCGTGAACACATGTTACCTGTATGTATGTGGCGCAGGAGTGTATGTCACACCGGGCGGTGTCTCATTTGGTCATGGAGTGAAACCGTTTGTCATGCCTTGTGACTAGTGATGCCTGCTGGGTATGTACAACTGCACGTGCCTTCCCTGTTGTTTGTCTATTTGTGTGCTGGGTAGTGGCTTGCTGATGCCGAAACTCGTGGTGGACAGCCACGGGGGCAAGCGCACGGATGCCGGAATGCTGGGGAGTGGCATCTACTTTGCAACTGATTCAAGGTACGTGTAACATTATCCTATGTAATGAGTAATTGTGTCAGAGTGTGCCGTGCAGTCTGCAGTTTGCTCTTTCCTCACATGATGTCCTAAACATCTTCCCTATGATGGGTATCCCCTGCTCTATCTCTCCTGAACTGTCATGTGCAAACCTGACTGCACTGAAGTGTGCACTTGTGTTATTGTTTGCATGGGTGTGTAATTTAAGATCTACCCAAGAGTCCCAAGGATAGCAAAAGTGCCCAATGTGAATTGTACACAGTGCTGCTGTTCACTGATGCGCTACCCCCGGCTTGTGAACTGTGCTGCAAAGTTGCTCCGGTTTCATCATGCAACAAGCGCACTGGTCCGAGCCCTGCAGCTCATGATGTGGGAGATACACCATGGGTCAGGCTTCACTGGCCAGCATTGTATACCGGTATATTCTACTTGTGTGTGTGTGTGTGTGTGTGTGTGCGCGTGTGTGTGTGTGCGTGTGCGTGTGTGCGTGCGTGCGTGTGGTGTTTGTGTGTGTGTGTGAGTGTGCGTGCGTGTGTGTGCGCGTGTGTTTGTGCGTGTGTGCGTGCATGTGTGTTCTGTGTGTGCATATGGATGATTGCATCCGCACGTGTGTACATGTGTGTACATGTGTGTCTGTGTGTCCGTGTCTGTTTCTTTGAATGTGCCCAGTACAAGTGCCCGGTATTCTAAGACTGGCTCTCGCAATCAAAGTCGGCTGATGGTCGTTGCTGATGTGGCTCTTGGCAACAGCTTGGTGGGTTCAAAGTTCTGCAGGCTGAGTGGCAGCCAGTCATGCTTGCCTGCATCCATGTGTACTTGTTTGCATGTGCACCTGCATGTCTGCATATTATAATTGACTCTGCATGACGGCAGGAACGATGCTGCCTCTCGTGCTACAAAGCTTCTACCTGTTTTAAGTTGTAATTGTGCTCAACGTGGAGGTGATAGCGGTCTGGCTTGGCCGAACCCAAGGGTTTCGTAGACCGGATGCTAGCACAGATAAGCAGATGCCATTACATGTATATGTATTGCATTTACCCCAGTCTGTGCTGACTTAGGTGTCTGAATGTGTCTCATCGACATGTTGTGATCTGTGTGCAGGATACAAGCAAGAAGCGTCCTGAGCTGACACAAGCACCAGACGGCTACGACAGTGTTCATGCCATTACCGGGAAACATGCAGGCTTCTCTGGTGATCTTGGTTACAATGAAGATGATGATGATACTGATGATGATCAACCGTCAGCATTCAAGGTATGGATTTCACATGGCCCTGTGTGTCTGTTGCTTTTTTGTTTCTCCGTGTGTTGATAGTAATTTGCTCTCCGCACACAGACTGTACATGCTTTTTGCTTTTTTTATTCACATTATGATATGATGTAGGTTGCCACAATGCGTGCCCGGTGTTATGTGTATGTGCATATGTGTGTGTGTGTGTGTGTGTGTGTGTGTGTGTGTGTGTGCGTGCGCGCATACGCATGTATATGTGTGTGTGTGCGTGCATGTATGTATGCATTCAGGATGAGGAGTACTGCATCTACAGCAGCAAGCAGCAGCAGCTGCGGTAAGGGATGAAGTGGAAGAGCCTGTCTGTACACTTGTACTTACTCTACACAGTCCTGGTTGTTACTAGTACCTACCTCAATGTACTCTTGTTGTTACTAGTACCTACCTCAATGTACTCTTGTTGTTACTAGTACCTGCCTCAATGTACTCTTGTTGTTACTAGTACCTGCCTCAATGTACTCTTGTTGTTACTAGTACCTACCTCAATGTACTCTTGTTGTTAATGTACAAGAGAAGAGCTACGGAGAAAAAAAGGGAAGCCAAGGAGGAGTCCAGGTGGAAAAGGAAAGGTAGAGCATTGAAACGATCGGTCACGCAATACGGTTAATTTCCATCGTGGATAGGATAATTATTCAATTGACATCCCTACGTAAGAAGTAGGTCAATGTACTAGTGCGGGTACTGCACTACCTTGGTTACCATGATGACAATCGGCCTTGTGCTGCTAGAGAGTGGTTCTGTAAGTGGCAGAGACTGTAGGATTGGATAAGAGAGAACGCAAGCGGTAGTCTCGAAATTGATGCTGTGATATTTGTAAGGACACTCGCCTGGATGGATGGTACAAGTTAGTGGTGAAACGAATATACCGAATATTCGAATGTTCGTTCGGTTTGTCACATTCGAACAAATATTTCTCATGGCGAATATTCGCTAACCGGGTATGCAGAGTTTAGCAGGCGACTTCAAACTTCCGTAACTTCGCGAATACTTGACCGAACCGCCTCATCGAAAGTTCCATCGGCATTAGAAAACTCTCAGCTGTCGTCTCGAAGCAACCCGGACGCGATCCGAGGTCCTGGAATGGAGTTATGAACTTATGGCGGTCGAAAGAAAAATCACGTCTTGAGCTGTTTTTTGAGCGTGTAAAATGCAGCTGGGGATTTTGTGAAAATTGACCTAGAAATGATGGAGAAATATGTGCCTTCGTTTGTCATGCCTAATAATAGTGACAATATCCAATAAAATGACTGAGAGGAGGGTGTGTGATGTCATCCGTGTTAACGAAAGAATATTCGTTCGTTCGTTCGTTAAGCCAAAGAATATTCGGCTACTGGGTTTTGATATTCGTTTCACCACTAGTACGAGTGGATATTGGCTTCCTTCCAAGGTCACCTGGATACACTATGCTGTTCGCGACTTCACTGTTCAAGATGATTTGGTTTTGAGAGCTTTCCTTCTTGTCGCTTTTCCTTTCTGTTCCAGTGTTGTGTTGTATGTCACGCAGTCTGTGTCTGTGTCGGGTAGTTGCTGACACGCTGTCCTGTAACTTACACACACTGTCACCTGCAGGTATCTAGTGGCCTTCTCCTTGCCCGACGATGAAGACACAGAGCCAGTATCCGCTGATGATGCTGGCGGGAAGGAAGCAGCTGCTGTCGATGCCGATGATGAAGATGACGAATCTGCTGGTGATGGTACGGTTTAGGATGTTGGAAAGACAATGTGATCTTGTCCACAGCTACCCTGATATATTACATGCGTTACCTCTCTCGGTTGATAATCCTCTTCTCCTGGTGGACAGGGAAAGCCACTGATGTTCTTTCGCTGATGTTGGAACAGTCCGAATACCTTGTGATACATTTTTGTCTGTTTCCCGATACATAGTCTGTGTTTTCTGTGTCAATCTACGGGTGTGTGGCCTTATTTTAAAGGGGAACTCCACGAAAAATGAAACTTTCATATCCTGTAGAGTTTCGGGCGCTGAGTCGAATGGTCTTGGTCCGAAGTCTCTACGACAAAGCGTTCTTGAGATATTTCACTTTGAAATCGCAAAAACGGGGCCGCGCCGTGACGAATGGTTGCTGTTGCTGCTGTTGCTGCTGCTGCTGGTCGTGTGTGTGTGTGTGTGTGTGTTCTGAATTTGGCACTGTTGCTTATCCCTGTTTCAGTTGTGAAACTGAGTGATGTGAAGTCTATAGTTGATCCGCTGGCCAAGGTTGAGGCGGGTCTCCAGGCCGGTGGCAAGGCAGTGCCACTGCAGTCCGTACACGTCAGAGCCAAGCTGATGGATTTGGCGTCGCAGGTTGGTACGAATAGCTGTGCTCCTGTTTGCCTGAAACGCCTTGCCGCAGAGCGTAGAGCTGTATTCGTGCACCGAGTGTCACAGAACGAGACTGGCAACCGTGTCTGTTTCTTTGGGAAGCAAAGACTCTATCTACATTGTGTACAGTTGCTTTGCATTTGCCTTCGGCCTCTGCAGTACATGTACTTCGAAGTACCTCGTGGCACTCAGCCTTGAAACATGTCTGGGCGTGAACAGTAGTTGCAATGGTCACATCAGCTGTCTTGCCAATACTGTACGGTGATGTGATGCGTGCTCTGCTGGCCTAGCGTGAAACCTCAGCAATGTGTGTTCTCTTCAAACTGTGTTGCGGTGTATGCAGTGCACGTATCAGACGAACTGTGCACCACTGCAATTGTACTGAGTGCATGTACATGTACATGTATGCTCTGTGTTCCTGGCGTGTTAGGTTGTTGTGCTGCAAGAGTACCACAACGAGGGCGATGAACCCATTGAAGCCAAGTACGTCTTTCCACTGGATGACATGGCAGCAGGTACTGAGCTCGCCCACCTAGTCAACTAGCTATTGTTGATAGCACTGTCTGTAATTCTTGAGCCAATGCTTGTCCATGCCGAAATTTGCCCTTAGCCATGTCCTGCGCCGTGGGTCATGTTGTCTCGTCCCTTCGTGCATCTCTTGACAGCTTGATCATGCCGTGTATTTCATTCTCTTCGCACCCCTGTTGTATTTAGTTTGTGGATTTGAAGCATTCATCAACGGCAAGCACATTGTTGGCGAGGTGAAAGAGAAAGAGCAGGCACATCGTGAGTACAAGGAGGCCATTAGCAAAGGCCACGGTGCGTACCTGATGGATGAAGAAACACCGGTGAGTGGCTGCTGTTCTCATTGTTACCATCAGCATTATCATCGTTGCTGCTGCTGTTGCTGCTGCTGTTGTGGCTGTGGTTGTTGCTGCTGTTACTTCCATTACCTGTCTTTGTTGCTGATGTCATTCTGTAGCTAGTCCACAACTGTCCAGTTTTCCCATTTTGCAGTATGTTCCAGGGTGTTATGTTTGAATCCATAGTCTGTCTGTACATGTTCTGTACGCCATACGCTGCTCTGTGTGTACTTCACATTATACATGCATGCACTGTACACTGTTGTCAGCTGCTTTGCCCTGCTTTGGCCTGTGTACGTTATTCTGTAGTGTTTGAAGTAGAAGCGCGTACCCTGCCAGCGGCCGTTGGCCTGCACGCCAGCTATGTCAGTTATTGGTTTCTGATTTCGAATAGTTCCTTGCTTGTCATTCTGAAGTATAGTTGTAATAAACTGTGCTCTTGCTCTTGTAGTTCTCTGTCCATCTTATTCTGGCGAATACAACGCCGGTGTACATGTATTTGTTTAGTTCTATTCTGGGGTTGTCTATGTCTATGGGCACATCCATCATACACCCAGTGGCATGAATCAAAGCAATCTCTCTACCTACATTGTACATGTACGTCTCGTCTTGTCTTTCCTCTTCTTTGTTTAGGATGTGTTCACAGTGAGCGTCGGTAACTTACCACCCGCTGCTAAAGTGCTTATCAAGATCACCTATGTAGCAGAGTTGGTGATTGAGGACGAGGCGGTGTGCTTCTCTCTACCTGGTAGTGTGGCACCATGGTCGCAGTCGGCAGCACTTCAGGAAGAAACACAGGTGGGAATTGCACGCGCATGTCTCTACATGTGATACCAAGGGGTGTGTGTGTGTGTGTGTGCGCGTGTGCGTGCGTGCGTGCGTGTGTGTGTGTGTGTGTGTGTGTGCGCGCGTGCGTGCGTGCACGAGTGTGTGTGAAATCAGTTGAAGTACTGAGCAAGACGATTGTCGTTGCTGCTGCCACGGCTGTTCTTCTTGCTCTTCTGTTCTGTTCTAGCTGTTGCTGCTGCTTCAGGGAGTACTGATATTCCTGTTTTGTTTGGTTTTGTTTTTGGTTTGTTTTGGTCGTGTGCTTTTATTGTCGGTACTTCAGGACAAGGTGACTCGAGTAGAGATTGACAGCAAAGCTGAACGGTGAGTTTACTCAGACATACGTCATTGCTGATTAGTGTGCTCTTCTTGTTGCTGTGGGGACACAACATGAGCATGTTCTACTTTGGAGAACATTGTGCAACTGCCTTTGGGTACGGGTACAACTGCACCGGTTGTGTGATGTCTGTTCCATCGTAATCGTATACATGTGTGTGTGTGTGTGTGTGTGTGTGTGTGTGTGTGTGTGTGTGTGTGTGTATGTGTATGTGTATACGTGTGTGTGTATGTGTGTGTGTGTGTGTGTGTGTGTGTATGTGTGGCGCATCTCTGCAGGTCATTCTCAGCACAGATATCTGTTGAGATGCCGTTCGACATTCGCAGCATCAAGTCGCCCACTCACTCTCGCGAGATATCACTGAAGGTACCAGCTAGCTGCATGCGTTTGTATTCGTGCATGGGGTAGTGTTGGAGAGGTTGTGCTGTAAGGAACCTCTGTAGCAGTATTCACAATGTAATTGTGTCGTTTCAGTAATGACGAGAACTGACAAAACATGACTTGTACAGCCTAGTCGCCGAGCCTTCAGAAGCACATACAGTCTGTATCGGCTATAGAGTGACCGGATATAAGAATATATCGGCTACAGTGGTATTGGTACGAAATATCAAAAGCAAAACGTATTTTATCCAGTAAAAATATCACTATACCCAATATTATCGGATGTAATGATATATCGGATATTATGATGACAGCAAAGAATCAAAACATGCATAACACACTATAATTATTATTATCGGCTATAGTGATAACTTACATGTAGCAATAATATCAAAGGCCCTATTTTTTACTTTCTTCACGTTGCTTATTTTTATAGTGATACATGTACATGTACATAACAGAATTTTTTTATGGAAATGCGGGCACTGTCAACTATGCAGCATGCTCATTAGTCAAAACGCCATGCTGGAATTATTTCCTTGCCTTTCATGTGTCGATCGAAAAAAATCGATAGTATCGCATGATTATAGCGATGCATCGGTTATAGTGATACAATCACGGAAATAAAAAAGGGTACGCTATAGCCGATACAGACTGTACATTGATTTATCATCTAGCACATTTCAGTGTGACTTCATGTAGATGTAGTTGCAGGTACTAGTATCACTGCAGGTACTAGTATCACTGACCTTTTGTGTTAGTCGGTAGTATAGACAGAGCATTCATTCACAGAGTACGCCGGACACTGAACACACCGATGCTGGCACGATGAGATTTTCTTTAGTCTTTCCACCATTCCCTTGTTCTACTCTGACCGTGTGCAGCAAACCGCAACCAAGGCCGTTATTGAATTGCCAGTCGGCAGCGATCTGGGCACTGGATTTCAGCTTCTGATCCAGCTGGCCGAGATCCACGTGCCGCGTATGTGGGTGGAAGAGAGTGACGGCAAGACGGACTCACAGGTAGGTCAGAGCTGTGTGAATGTGTCGGATGGCGACATGATCGTTGCTCTTTATGAACACTTTATGCTCTTCTTTTCCACGTTAGTTAGAGTCTCCCCCATTGCTTTGCATGTTGGAAAGTCCTATCTAGCAACTTAGCGAGCCCCTTGACGTTAGTGCTCTCCCTTACTACGTTGTAACATGGAAAAATGTGGGCACAAATTATGCGATCGAGTCCGCCAACTAAACCAGATTTTTTAACAGTCAGTTTTGTGCTAGATTGTGCACGTCTGACTGTTCAAAATCTGGTTTAGTTGGTGGACTCGATCACATAACTTGTGCCCACATTTTTCTATGTTACAATTTTTTCCTTGGCTCACCATCTGAGTTCTTACTGTGTTGTTTCATGTGCTGCGTCCCTTGGTGTTTGTTTGAAGAGACACGACCTTTTCGTTCATTATCTTCTCATCTGCATTTCTCACTGTGACAAATCTACAGGCGTGTATGCTAACGTTCTACCCTGAGTTTGAAGCGGATCCATCCAGCATGAATGAAGTGATAATTATGCTTGACTGTTCAAACTCCATGAAGGTAGGTTTGATAACTTTGTTCATCTCCTCAGTATGAGACTTCTTGATGGTTATCCTCCGGTCTTTTTGTTTTATCTCTGTGGGTGTCTGTGGGTTGTATGCGATTGCAGACCCAGTTGTATGTCTTCTTCCTTATACGTTATATAACTTCAGTGCTGTATTTTCCCGGTACGCGCATGTGTGTGTGTGTGTGTGTGTGTGTGTGTGTGTGTGTGTGTGTGTGTGTGTGCGTGTGTGCGTGTGCATGTGTGTGTGTGTGCGTGTGTGTGTGTGTGCGTGTGTGTGTGTGTGTGCACGTGTGTGTGTGTGTGTGTGTGTGTGTGTGTGTGTGTGTGTGTGTGTGTGTGTGTGTGTGTGTGTGCATCTGGGCATCGACATGCCCGTGTGTGCAGGGTGACAATATGGTGCAAGCAAAGAAAGTGGCCTTGCTGTGCCTGGACCTTCTGCAAGACAAGTGGAGCTTCAACGTAGTGCGCTTTGGCTCAGGTAAACCTTGCGTAGAATGTACATCTATGTCTGGAATTATAATGTCTTCTACTCGTTCTCCTAGGGTTCATCTTACAAGCTCATCAATGACCATCACTGTGTTTACAACCACTGTATTCCTGCACTACTAGTACTTGTAGTTCACACGATTAACACGCTGTGTTTCCAGGCACAGCCGGCCATTCTGTTTATGTTCTGCTATCCTGCTGAAGGGTGATGCTTTTGGCTGTGTGCTGTTGGAGGACTTTAGTTGGTCAGCGCTGGCTGTGTGGCGCTAAACTCTTGCTGTTCAGGTCTGAGCTGCGATTGTTTAGTGCTGCTGGATTGGGTTTCTTAGCAGGGGCAGGATTTCACGGGCCCAACTGTAGAACTGACGTTGAGATCCCAGGGCATAGATTAACGGCCGGACATCGGACATTTTCCGGCCATTTTCGGCCACTGACTGGACGTTTTCAATTTCACCGGACATAGTGTCCGGTCAAAAAAGTAAAAAAAGAGCAGCGACCTTTCGACCTCTTTATGCAGAGTTGGGCTTTCTTCGGAGCTTCGTGCCAAATGCGACTTGCATATCGTACAACTAACACGTACACCGTAGTCTCAGGCGTAGACTTCACTTTACTTGATTCGCCTGTAGCAGCTGTTGCTACAGTCAATTCACACACGTCCGGGCATGTCCGGACAGATTTCAAAACGGAAGGACATTTGTCCGAGCTAAATGAAATCCTTAAGCTATGCCCTGGATCCTGTTAGAGGGAGAGAGAGAGAGAGAGAGTCTATCCTGTCACAATGCACTGTACAGTTAGGAGACAACGTAGTGCAACAGAATTCGTAAATGATCAGAAAACAACAAAAGCAGTTTCCTAAAAATGCAGTAGAAGTCTTGGAATGTGTTTGTTTGTTTGCTTTCAGTGGAGGCTAGTTTAGTGGAGTTGCTACTTGTGCTTGAAGTAGTTGGGTAGTATCGTTGCGGCTGTTTTCTTTCTTGCTGTTCTTGATACATGTAGTTGTTGTTTTGCTTTTGGCGATGGGAATATTTCTAGACTATGAAGAGCTGTTTGCAACAAGCCAGCGGAAGTCCAAGGACACAGTCAACCTAGCACAGAACTTCATCCAGGTAAGGTGGCGTGAACAATACCGTAATTTCTGGAGTATAAGCCGCACTTTAAACACCAGTAATTCACCCAAACAAAGTCGATGATGCGGCTTATAATATGATGGTCAAATTAACGGTGGTCAATGGGATAGATGTCTGAATTTTATGACAAAAAAATCTGAGCGCGACTTATACTCCAGTACGGCTTATACTCCTGAAAATATGGTAGGTAAAGACAAGTTGTCATGAGCACGGGGGGAAGAGTGTTGTACAACAAGTTGTCATAAGCACGGGGGGGAAGAGTGTTGTACGACAAGTTGTCATAAGCACGCGGGGAAGAGTGTTGTACGACAAGTTGTCATAAGCACGGGAAGAGTGTTGTACAGTCAAATCTGCCGTTAGCGACCTCTGCTGTAGGCGACCATCTACCGTTAGCGACCGATTTTCCGTGCACCGACGGTTTCACATACAAACTGATCCGTCCAGAGCGACCATCTGCTGTGCGCGACCAGCGACCGCGATTTCATGCACGGTGGCTGCATTCAAATCTGCTGTAAGCGACCGCGACCCAGGTTCAGTAAGGTGCGAAACTGCACTTGCCAGTGCGCTGTCAACTGCAAAGTGTGAAAATGCGCTGTCTTGCAAGCGCGATCGACTGGCGCCTGGCCTGTACCGAGGCTGTGCTGTAGCTCTCAAGTCCAGGCAGTGTCGATCTACTGCCGTGTCGCATACGCATACTATATACGGGTATGGTCGTCGTTGAATATCCAATAAAATGATATTAAAAATCACATTATTCTCGTCGATTTGAGTACATGGAAGCATATACCTGGTATGCCGGATTTACCATACATCTGCCGTAAGAGACCATCTGCCGTAAGCGACCGCTTTTTCTTGCACCAAGGGGCGGTCGCTTACGACAGATTTGACTGTACGTTTGCACAATACTGTGTGCATGTTGAATGCCGGGAGGCCGTTCTTTTGAAGCATGCTGTAGTTCACCGTAATCTGACTCCAAGTACACCGCCGTTGTGCTCTGTGGCCGGCCACACACACACACACACACACACACACACGCACTTCCCGCAACAGCATGTGGTTCCTTCCGTGTGGTCGGCCCGCAGAGCGCAACGGTGGTGTATTCAGAGAGTTAGTTTACGGTGAATTTTCAATGGCCAAATGCTACTAGTACTACTTACCTTCTTGTATGGCTTGCTGTAACTCTTTTAAAACAGTAATGGCTTTAACTGCCTTACCTGGTTACTTGAGTGAAGGGATGTCAGACAATGGGCAACTTTTCTACCACAAGGAATTTTCAATTTTTAACATTCGCAATGACGCCTGACATTCTGCTGTATCTTGTCCTGCTCTGACTTTCTCGGATCGAAATTATTTCCAGGCATGTCGTCCAGGCATGGGTGGAACCGAGGCATTTCACCCGCTGCGCAGTCTCCAGCTGTCTTATTGTAGCACCAGTACCAACAACACCTCCAAGCAGCAGCAACAAGCTCCGTGCAATGTTTTCCTTGTCAGTGATGGTCACGTGGCCGAAGAGTTGTCTCTGCTGACAACTGTGAAGCGTTCTGCCCGTCAGCTCAGAGTCTTTACCCTTGGTGTTGGGTAAGTCTGGATGACTGCAGTGCGTTGTTGTTGTTGTTGTTGTTGTTGTTGTTGTTGTTGTTGTTGTTGTTGTTGTTGTTGTTGTTGTTGTTGTTGTTGTTGTTGTTGTTTTTTGTTGTTGTTTTTGTTGCTGTTGCTGTTGCTGTTGTTGCTATTGCTGCTATTGCTGTTGCTGTTGCTGTTGTTGTTGCTGTTGCTGTTGCTGTTGCTGTTGCTGTTGCTGCTGCTGCTGCTGTTGCTGTTGTTGTGGCGGTGGTGGTGGCAGTGTCGTCGTTGTCATTGTTTGCGTTTCTCTTGTCATGCATGCTGTGATATCAAGACTGCTGCCATTGCTGCAGATGGGAGCTGGACCCATAGGCGACAAATAACACATAGGCACACATATGTATGTACGTACCCACATGCCTTTTAAAAGCGATTATATTTGGTTCTGCCGGATCCTGTTGTCGCTGATGCTAATCTTTTGTTCTCATCTCTCACTGTGTCTACTCTGCTCTAAACTCCTGTAGACCTACAGTCAACCGACATCTGATGAGAAGCCTAGCCAATGCTGGAGCGGGTTCATGCGAATTCTTCGACGGCAAAGCCAAATCGAAGTGGGAGAGAAAGGTACGGTGAAAATGGCCAGCCTTCGAATCCACACACGTTTTGCCAATACAGCAGTTGTAAATGCTGGGTTC